ACACGTCATCTTCGGAAAGGTCTTAGAGGGAATGGTGAGTCGTGTGTGTGTTCATATTTCATGCATAGTGGATTTTGTTTTCTATTCTCGGTGTCTCTTTCTCTCTTACTCTCTCTTTTCATTTCCCTCCCTCCCCCTCTGTGTGTGTGTGTGTGTGTGTTTGTGTGTGTGTGTGTGTGTGTGTGTGTGTGTGTATGTGTGACACAACTAGAGGAGGAAAACGTTTCCTCGGAAATTAAATTGACCAGAGACAGATTTCTTTTTCAAAACAAGTAAAGATCTATCAATCTTCTGTAAATTTGTCGTTTGTTGCTTAATACCGCGCTGTGGGGATTCCATTTAAGGCGACAGGTGAAGACTGAAGAAAACCCACATTGTTTTATGTCTGACTTAAACTCGCATCATTTGTACACAAGGAGAAGAGTTTTAGTTTGAACAACTCCACAACAGACGACAGTTATCTCAGAGCGCACAGATATATCGGAATCTGATCACTATTTATATCAAGACAGATGCAGTGGGTGGTTGGCAGGTGCTCTGGTGTGATTTGCTTCTTCTTTCCCCCCAAACATCTGTTGTCCTTATCCCTCGTTCTTTTTTGTGTTTGTTACCATCTTGTAACACCTCTAATCTTCAACACTTATTAGACCTTGTTGTGTTGCAAGAGCCGTAAAACTAAAAGACAGATGCACCAAGAAGTAGGCTATATGTGTATTTCAATAAGATGGCGTGTCCTTTGCTTCTCCCCCACAGGATGTTCTTCAAACCATAGCCCTGGAGGAAACAAACAGACAAAGCTTACCCTTCAGAACCGTAAGCATAAAGGACTGTGGAGCCATCCCCCTTAGTTCTCACTACACACTCACCAGCGAGGACTTCAACACGAATGAAGACATTCGAACAAAATAGTTTACAATAATAAAGTTTAGATAATCATTGATTAAATAGAATGTTTCATAGGGGAAAGCATGAACACATGTACTTGATGAGTGATTGAAGTATGCAATTTTACGAAAAAGTGATAACTGGATTAATTTCACATAGGTAGAGGGCGTAGAAAGTTGGCAGATTTATGGAGCAGAATACAGAACGAGAGATGAGAGAGAGAAAGAGTGAGAGTGGCTGCAGTTGAAGTTTTCCAGACTAGATTTCATTACAAACGTGAGAAAGACGAAATCTTGGAATAAGCAGTTGGTATTATGTCAGATACCTAGCAATATTGTCCCTTGCTGTAAGGATAATTCAGTGAAAGAATCTGCAGTAACAAATGTACTGTCTTGAATTCTGCCTGTCATTTCTTGACCGTAGAGCCATTTTATGTATTTGTTTTTGTGTGGACATGAACGAATAAACGAAATCCATTTTCAAAGAAAAATGGTGCAGTTCATCTATTCATCATGAAGTTGTGAAAAACAGCTAGCCTTACTAAATCATTGTGAAGAGATACGTCTGAAAGTAACATGGGCTGCGCTGTGTGATGCAGAAACTCCTTTCGCCCACAGTATGAGCGTTGCTTCCTCAAACAATGGTGACCAATGAAACTAAAGGAAGATCACGATGGGGACTTGGAAGGTAGCAGGACTGCTCGTCGGTGAAATTTACAGAATTAAAAAAAACCCCAAGTGAACAGCCTTAAATTCTGATAAATCCACTAAAGTTTTTGTGTTATTTAGAGAACTGGCCCATCAATATTGGGAAAAGCTCATTTGGGCAAGAATATTTTATTAGAAGAACACTCATTCTCTGAATGTCTACAATGTTCCATATAGTGCCAGTTTCTATTCAATAAACAAGTACAACAATTTCTATTCACATTTACTTTTAATGAACATTTCAAAGCATGAAATGGAACACAACATATCTATATTTTTGTAATACCACAAATACCATACCAAGCATATACAATAATGGGGCTGTCAGTTGCTTAAAGGCAAAATATCCTTTTACAGTGAATTCACCCTCTGGTTGCAGATTCATGTCTGCAGAAATAGCAAAAATACAGGACAGTCACCTCTTTCCAAAAAAAACCTTACACTTTGCAAATCTGTCAAAACACAAAGAACATGGTTTCAGAAAGTAAAATCATCATAATATTCACAAGAAACAAACCTCAAGAACAACAACGACTTTCCAGGCATGACCTTATTCCCAAGGGAAATGACCAACATGAAACTGAAACAGATGGAGGGAAGGGAAAGGGAGATAAACTTCCGTCCAGCCTTGTTGAGGCAAAGGGAATAATATTCTGTGAAATCAGTATCAGATCTCAGTTATCAAGCACACATTGAGAAAAAGATATTTAAAGCAGAATAAACTTGTGTGCAGACCCTCCTTAGATAGTGACAGAAACGTTCAAGTACAACAACCATTTCAACAGGAGTGGGAGTTACATGAGTCACAAACTCACCCAGAGAACAACACATTGCTTTTGTGCAAAAGAGCTGCCAACAGTTGTTAACAAGATGATTCAACATCTAGCTGAATTGAGGATACTACCTTAATGCACTTCTATATTCATGAAAATTCAGTTGCAAACTTTAAAAAACATACTGAACTAGTTTCTTGCAAGGCTACTTTCCCTGCCCTACACTGGGGAGTTTGTTTAGATTTAGCAAGAGTTTTAAAGCACTTGCAACACAAATGAAATTGGTCATATAAGTGCCAAAGATTAGAGACACTATAAGACAGAATCATACTAGAAAAGAAGGAGGAGAGATAAGGACAAGGTTTGAAAGGAAAGAAGAAGTAATCCACACCAGAGCACCCACCAACCATTCATCCTGCATTAAACATTTTTCTGCTTCTAGCATTCAGATATGTCTCTCAACATTCAGCTTTAACTTAGAAAGTTTAAGAGAAACCCTAATATCTAAAAGAGAAATGAAGGTATCTATAAACTCATGCCAAGAGCCAATAATAACCTGTGTGGCAGCAGATTGAAATTCCATATTTTCTTCTCCATAATCTGTTTGTTGTCGACAGCTTCATCACTATAATTTCCTTCCTCTTTTTTTATTCTGTAACTTTCACCAGTTGGATTGAAACCTACAGCATCGCTTCATTTCAATGCTCATTTCTTCTTCTCATTCAGTATATAAACACATATCTCTGCTATAATATCAATAGCAGAAAGCAACTGGTGCCATTAGGCATCCCGAGTGAATATCAGCACAAGTGAACTAGTGAGTTTTCATCTTGCAATCAGAATATGACCAGAGTCGACATAAAAACAATTCCTCTCTCAGAGGACATGACTCTTATGATTCACAAGTCTCAACCACTTTCTTTACGGAGTGATATTTACAGAACAAAAATTGGGAGTTTGGTGTGTGTTAATACAACGCAGTGGCTTGTCTTCAGAATGTGCAGAGCATATCAACAGCAGAGGGAACAAGATTACAGTCAGCTTGTATTGTCTGATGCCACCACTGCAATATATTCCAAAAGCCAGAAATGGACTATACATTTCTGTTAATTGAAGCCCAGTATTAAATACCACTGATCAGATCAACAAGTTACCATAAAACTTTATCTCTAAATTCAAAGCAGGACTGCTGTAAAAACTATGACTATCATGGTCATGACACAGCAAATTAATGTAAGATGCCAACATAAATAACTTATTCCACATCATCCACACTAAAATCCCAACCTTGTTACTAAAATTCCGCGGGTGAAAAAAGATATGTAAGTAAAACATATACATACAATATGAAAAGAAATACTTGATGATTTTTTTTCTATGCTGCCAACCATTCAAAAAATGTTTTTGATCTGCCTACCCCAGCACCACAAACTTCTGATATAATTTCAACACAATTTTAAAAAAAAGAAGAAACTTGTTCTTTTCATATTCAACAGTAGCCTACATCTTCACACCAACGTGAGTGAAAAAATTGCATATGAATCATACTTTTAAACACTTCCTGAAAACAAACGTGAAGATAAACATAAAAATAAAACACACGACAAATGCTTACTGGATGAAATACATAGTGCCATGTTTTCAAAAACAGAAATTATCAATAGATAGAAATATTTCCCGACTATAAAAGTTTAAAGTACTGGCATGCTTGTCAAGCATACGTTAAAGCAATAGAGGGTATTGCAAAGATTGTCAGTAATCTGGGAACTACAATGAGTACAAACGATCAAAATAGATCAAACCATTTCACTACTACCAACAGTTACATACTGGCAACTGTGAGACACAAGGCATTCACAGTCTACCTTACATTAGGCTTTCTTAGACTGCTTGACAAACTTGGTACCAAAATAAAAATTTGCCAACTAGCAAATTTTGTCAATATACCAGATCTGTATGTTAATCCAAAAGTATTTTCAGTTCAAAATGATAAAACAAATATTGAACAGGAGCACATGTGTACCATTTAATGTAAGCTCATTTGCACTAAGAGAGATGGCAGTGTCCACAAAATGGTGAAAAGTCATGAATCACAGTTTGTAGCTTATATCTTAAAACATGGATCATGAAAGACATCTACAGTACAATAACTCAATGTGCATGGTCGTAATTCAAGTGTAATAGAAGAGACGTCATTCTTTCAAAGAACTAGAATATTCTCGACATCTTAATGAATAATGACTAGCAATTTATGACATCCTTCCCGGGCAGACTGAGACGTTCATCATATCACAAGGAGTGTGGCATCAATCTGTACACACCAGGACAAATAATCTCCTCAGTCATACAAAGTAAGTATAGAGCACAAATTACCTCACCATGTCCAGAACTACATGTAATAGCTGAAGAGCCACAATAGCCTCCAATGTAGTGTGTGAATAATGGCAACTGTCCAAAGTATGACATACATAGCAAAGGTAGTACAAAAAACCAAATGTAGTCATCCTTCAACTTAAGTCAACCGATGAATGTGAAATAGCACTGATGCAAATGTACAATATCTTATATAATTTTTAATATTATAAAAATAGGTGTGCACACAGACAGCTTAAATATTAAATGTTACTACAAACATATGCATATATCTGCATTCCTTATTCCAGAACAACGGCATGGTAAGCGATCCCATACAGGTCACATCTTTAGAACTCTTTAATTTAAATAATTAATACAACTTCAAGAAATTCCCATGTCAGTCACAACAAGGCTTTCATTTTTCATTCATGACAATAGCTGTCAACCCTTGCATGTTAATCCGACTTGAGAAAAAAGATGCTCTTTAATAAGGGTGGACAAATCAACATGACTCATCCCACACGCTGTACACAGAACAAACAGGCTGATAGTCTAGCCAGACAGGTGGGGAGAAATAGGAGCATCAAAGTCACAGAAACACCCTCACTTCTACTGGGGGGCACTGGACCTGAGCTAAGAGAAAATAGCAAATGAAATCAGGACAAAACTTTCCATGAGCCATGAGTGCAGTTGTTGTTTTGGTACCTCCACAGTTACTAAACGAGTTTCTGTAACTGAACCTAAATCTGTTTCTTATTCATACCACAAACCAATCAGGCCACATTTTTCTTACTGCTCTTTTGAAATAGTTTTTTTTCCTTTTTCGAATGAGACAGTTGTGCAACTAAAGAAGTACAAAATTCGAATGAGATGTGAAAAATACTGGCCAAAAATATTATCAGAACAGCCAGTTGTACATTTCAAGCATAAATAAGTTGAATGAACCTAGACAATTTATGTAAAAATATTCTCATGCATCATGTCCTCCCTCGAGTCTGATAAAACAGAAAATTATAACACAAAAAAAATCCACCTCAAAATCAGTCATTATAACAAGGTTAACAACATCCATAGTTAAACCCACAAAATGAATTACAGAATTAAAGAGCCCTTCAGGAATCTCAGTAGTAAATTACAAAATAGAAGAGAACTTTGGGTACGAGTAGAATCATGAACTTCATTCCTGATCTCAGATCACTGCTGTGGCTGGTGATGTCCCCCGTCCGAGTAATGAGGAGGCTGTTGTTGCTGCATGCCGGCCTGTGGGTGACCTCGGGGGAGCATCATGACCCGCTGTAGAGCCGCCTGGGGATTCATCATGATCCCCTGACCCATCATGCCTCCCTGGGGGACCAAGAATGGGTTCAGGCGAGCACCCACATACCCCTGCTGGGCCAGAGCAAATGCCTGCTGCTGTTGCTGCTGCTGCTGTTGTTGCAGAAACAGAGAGTAAGACGCCGCCGTGGCTCCGGTGTTTGCATTCTGCTGGGCTGACAGAGAGACTCCTGGGAAGGGCATTAAACCACTCGGCGGCTCTCCAAGTAACCCCTGGGAGCTGCTCTCGGACTGGGAAGATTCCGTGCTGAGCTGGCGGAGCCGATGACTGAGGTGCGCGGGACTGTCACGGCTGCTGTTGGACCCCTCGTTAGAATTTGTGGACGGCGCTGGACTGGAGCAATCCGAATCTTTTCTGTCCATTTTCTTCTTGCTCCCAACACTACTGGCGTCTTCCCCACCACTGTTGCCCTCGGATGGGGTGCTGCCCGCCTCTCCCTGTCTGTCTTTCCCTCGCTGCTGCAGCTTCACCTGAGCCTGTCGCTGAGAGGTCTGCCCTCGATGACCTTTCTGCTGTTGCTGCTGTGTGGGTGGTGGAGTATCCAAGGACCTCTGCCTGTGCGACTGCCCTAACTTGAAAGGCTTCAGCTGATGGTGGAATTTGTCCCACAGTTTCAACAACTGAGACCCAACATGTGCTTCCAGCTCCTGTTGAAATAAATGGCACAACGGTTCAATGAACAGAAAAAAATACGCATGTACAACAAAATTAACAGCCAAATCAACTTCCATAGGAGCAAGAAAGTTGTTTAAAAAGAGATACTCGTATTCTGACAAAATTATCCATCATATCAAAAGAGTACGAATAATCACACACATTTAATGAATTTCAAATTGATACCACACCTTCCAAGAGAAGAGAGGAAAGAAAAGAGAGAGACAGAATAGTGTCCAACATTTCTGAAAAATTTGGGCTATAAGCTGTGCCTTATAGCCCAAACTTTTTTCCTCAGCTTTAAACCCTGTGGCTTATTAGCGGATTTTCCAGATTGCAGGAGTGTCACTCCCTCGCCTATTCTTAGAATACCCCTAAAACATTGAAATGTTGACAGACTTTCCTCAACATCACACTTCGCGTCCCAGTATGCTTAAGAAACACAGCCCAACAGATGGGAGTGTACTTTTAGAGACCCCCGAGTCTGCTGAAGCTTATAAACAGGTTTGGTTTATTTGTGAAAAAAGTTCAGATTTTAAAAATATTTAGTGGGTGCAGCTTATGTATACAGACCTGCCACTCTATGAAACCTCAAAATCAGGATCTCGGGGAGAAAAATCAGGATTTGGTGAAAAAAATCGGGATCAACAGGATAATCACCAAGGTGACTGCCAAAGCTGACTTAAAATTTGTCCAGGGGTGTCCATAAATTACTTGGCCTATATGCACTCTAAGTGTCTTTGTTTGTTTGCGCACGCGCGCGCGCGTGTGTGTGTGTGTGAGTGTGTGTATGCGCGTGCGTGCGTGCCAGCGAGTTACCATTATTTTTTGTAAATCCTGAAGTATCACGTCAAGCACTCCTTCTAGTCTAAGTGTCTATACCCCCCCCCCCCCCCACACACACCCCAATAAGTCCCGAAATACATGAACTTAAGTTGACCCCGTCAACGGACGGTCCCCGACACGCAGAACTCACACGGCGATGTCATACCACGTGATGCAAATGCGTGATTGAAACAATTTTACTAAAGGGTCCGACTAATTGCGCGTTCACATAAAACACTCAGATGAGCGACAGTCGTTCTACTTCTAGTACTCTAGGATAACGACGACGGCCGACCGACCAATTGTACCAACAAATCTCTTATCCCTCATATGCGTTCAGACTAAAGCAACGATAACGGCCATATGTTAGTCTTGTCAGCGCGGTTACATGTAGTTGTGTACGGGTTAGAAAGACTGTTGCTCGTCCGAGTGTTTGGTGTGAACGCGCAGTTACCAGACCTCGGACAAGGATTGTTTTGAAAGTAACAGCGGAACTATGAATATTATCGATTATTTGTATGTGCCAAATTGTAACAGTTACCAGGCTATCATCGGAGAATTCTGAGTGTGGGCAAAGATCACACACAACTTGGGGCGAGTCAACTACTAAATGCGGCATCAATATTTGGGGAAATAGTGCCCCGAGTTCAAACTGACAAAAAGTTCAACGGGTGCTTCCCACGATAAAGGAGAAGACAGTAAGTTTTTAGAAAAATCCCGCACAATAGCAGACTGGGACAAAAAAATCAGGATACACGCGATCGAAATAGGGAAAATCGGGATGCTAGAGATTTGGGGCAAAAAAAAGGGATATCCCGACTAAATCGGGATGAGTGGCAGGTCTATGTATACAGGTGCGCTCAATAGCCCGAACTTAACAGTACATATCCTTCAACTGCATCATATGCCCTGAGTGAACTGACCTGCCCATCCCTGCTCTCCTGGACCTTTTTGTTCTCGTTCCAAGGGTTGAGGAGGTGATGACACAGCTGAAATGGCAGGTGGGCGCTGTGGAGCATTGATATTAAACAAGGCCATTAGAAAATTCAATAGAACAATTTCCACCACGCACAAAAATGTTCTAGTCTAGAGATAATTCATTTGATTCCCAAACAAAAAAAATATGCAGGCTCAATTATGGGCGTCACCAGGCGGGATACTTCAGAAAGTTAGTTTATCTTCTTTTTCTCATTTCAACTGGCTGTCAATGAGTATTTAGTGATCAGGAGAAATGGATTATGTTGTGAATGAAAGTGGTATGTGCCCAATAAGCTGCAATGATGTATTGCCCTGAGGGGACTGGGAATGTAAATCAGAATGAACTGTTAGGATAAGAGAGCTGCTGAAAAGTCATGTGGGTCTTTCATCAGTACAGAAACATGCTACTGACAAACACATAACTGTGCCCTCATATGACCTTATGCAGTTGCAACTGCCGTAACACTTTTACCAAACTGAAACATGTACCTGTTGTCTCAAAACATGACATTTACTATGAGATCCCTGATACAACCTTCATCAATGATTCATCTTATACAATTATATACAAGAACAAATTCTTTCTGCATTTTATTTGCAACATTTTTTTTTATTCAGTGACCTAAAACAACCGTAACCAAATAGTTGTCCAATCCAGACAGGCAAATACATTTTAAAAACCTGGTATAAACGGAGTACACATACACACACACACACACAACAACAACAACAACAACAACAAATAAAAAACTAAAAAAAACACACAAAAAGGAAGAATTCATGAGCTCACCTTTTCAGCCATTCTACACTGAATATGGCAGACAACCCTGGGCTAGGGAAATCTGGAGATTTTGTCCTGGCTATTGAGGAGGTCATTTTGGCAAATCCTTGAAAATGTCCACTGCCTTGCACAGAAAAAATGAGGTACACCACCCTTCCACTCTGAAAATTGTTCAAATGTTGAACATCTTAAGCTAATAAAATACTAGAGGCAAACATAACATGTGTACATAGAAAACAATCAAGATCATCATTAATTAGCAAAATGTGAAAAGTCAATGAGACTTTTAAAAGCATCCAGATGTTCTCTCCAAAACTAATGTAAGAAAAGGCCTCATCATTCAGAGTAATCAATCTAGAAATTTCAGTTTGGCTTACTTAAAAAAAAAAAAACAAAAAAAAAAACCACTCCAAGAAATACATTACATTTGAATCAAAACATTTATTTCGGTGTCCTATTGTGTGTGTGTGTGTGTGTGTGTGTGTGTGTGTGTGTGTGTGTGTGTGTGTGTGTGTGTGTGATAACAAGTTGGTAAGTTTATTATTACTTGAGAGCCCCATGACTGTACAATCCAAGATATCAAAACTGACCATGTAAGCCTTTGACAATTTTCCCTCATGACCTGTGGATGTTGCCCAGAAGTTCTTGGTCTGAGAAATCTCTAAAAGCTTGTGATTGGCTGCTTTCATGATGAAAAAGCAGCTGTCCCTAGTCTGGTCAGAAACTTCATCTCCTCCCCCTCTCGAGTGACCTGCTAAAGAAGAGGAAACCAGACATGTTGTAATGAGAGGGTACTTAAAGGTCCCAGATTGAAAATCTTTTACATTTTCTAGGGTAACAACATCTAAAAAAAAAAGAAGAAGAGAAGGAATTAAAACATTGCATGACCATAACTTGACTTCAAAACACTTTTGGTCCAGTTTTTTTAACACCACTTCTTGTAAATGTATGAGAAGATGTCAAATTCAACCCTTTACCTACTTCTCTTTTCCCTCATCACACAAAAGAAAAACAATAATGTATTTTAAAAAGTCTTGAGTTCCAAAGTGAAAAAATACAAACAGCATGTCTCTTTTTCTCGTGTTAACAAACTTTTCAACATTACAACATCAAACAGAACCAGCTTTACTACATCAAAACAGAAGACTCAAAAAAATAAAATAAAACAAAGTAAACTTTTAGAATCAACACTTGGGCTTAGGGCAATGTAAATTTACACTACAGAGTGTGGCCTTCTATTACAAAGTTATTATCCAGTTATTCAGTGTTGAAACTACATGCTGTCACACTGATGAGAAGAATGGAAACAGAGGTATGCTGGCACTACAGCTCCACTAACTGTTGTATCCATGGTGTGGGGCGAGACGCTGCTGTTGGTGGTGGTGGTACTGGCTGCCGTAGTACTCCTCCACGCCATGGCCCACCACAGACTCCAGCACTGCGGGGACACAAGCACACAACGTGGGACAGGGCATCAACATGCACGAAACCTTGTATGATGAAGATGTCTTGTATTAGCTTTATCAGTATGGAGAGTTTGGAAGAGCAGTCTTATGTATGGTACAAACAGCTTTTCATGTTGTCTGTGATGATCGCAACTTACAAAAAAAGAAACATATCTACTTAAGGCTGATTAAAGATAACAAATTTTCTATAAAAATGAAAAATGTTCTAATAAGTTTTCTTTTCTCCAGATGCTCTGATAAAACAACACATCGGATGATCGATAAGCCCGAACCCATCAACAAGTGCAATCCTTAACTCTTTTTATCCTGGCCGTACCCCCACGGACTCTGTACCCATCCTGGGGCCGCCGCGATGTACGAGTTTGAATTCAGTGTGTATATTTCAAAGTGCAATATTTCTTACATTTACTCTTAGGTTTTAAGGAAATTTGGCAGTTATGTTAGAAATTGAATATAGTTTTTGTAAATGTATGTGGTTAGGAATTACATCAATTGCACAATGTAGATTTTGAGGTGTATTCCACCCTCCAACTTGACCCTGATAGCCGCGCCCACAACGTCCCATTGGATTTTAAAGATCTAGCCCTACCCCTTAATACAGCACGAATTCCAGTACTGACCCGTTCACCATGATCTGAATCACTATTAGATGAGTCTAAGTCCTGTTTGTTATTATCCACAACGAAATTTACGGTACTTGTTTCAGAGTCACTTTCATCAAATTAGTCTCATTCCCCCTCACAACCCAGCGCCACTTCAAAAAGTACTTCGTCGGCCGTGAACATGCGTTTTCGAGACATCATTCAAGCTTCTACACCCATCAAAAACAAAGAAACCGCTGTTCATTGGAAAATTTAAATTTTCAGACAAAGCTAGCATTGCCATATTTGCGTATTTTTGCAATTACAAGCACAACTAGCTTCTTCGACATGACCGTATAGCTGTTCAAAGTTTACTCGTAGCCCGGACTGGTCCTCGTTACGAGTATACTCGTAGTCCGGATAAAGAGAGTTAAGAGACAGGCACGGTTGGCCTCTAGAGAGTAGTCCTATCCAGAGACACAGACCTTTCATTTACAACTGATGGCCATTAGCATAAACACTGTTTCTTTTTGAGTGTGTAGGGGACAGGCAGTAACGAACTATTCTTATCTACTTTTTATTGTGATTTAGAATGCCATTAATGACTGGGATCATAAAATCTCAGCTAAAACACAACAGAGATTAACACATTACAAATGAATGACTGAAGAGGTACTTCTCAAAAGAGACTTAGAATTAGCATATGGACAGAAACCTTCAGAGGCACCAATGAAACAAATACATAATCCATGACGGACAACCAGACAAATGGCCAGGGCTATGCTGAACATGATGGGACAGAATTCTGCCCTGAAGTGGAAGGTTCCTACTTATGAGTACAAAAAGAGACTACTAACAATTCATTCTTTACATCAAGAGGCAGCAAAATTATAGAAAGAGACTTACCCATTTGCTTTGGCCTTTGTCCAACGCCTATTGGATTGGTCAATCCAATAACAGCATCAGCATTAGTCAGCAAACTGGTAACTGTTTGCAGAGTAGCCTGTAGAAAAGATAGTAGCAAAGTGATAACCAGATTAAGAATAATTCACCACCCCAAAAAAACTATTCTAAAGACTAAATCTGAGATGGCAAAGAACAGTTTTAACTTGATGGTATTGAATTAATTAATTTCTTTAGTGCATAAAGTAAAAGAGAACATAGAAGAGAATGCTAATGGCCCTCAGGGTAGTCTGATGAACTCTTAGCACATTGCAAACCTCCATTTTTTAAATTTCATATGTTTTCATGTTTTCTAGTTCATAAGCTAAATGAACACATCCCCAAAAATGTCAACTGAAATTTTTATTCTGCTGAAAGTCAGCCAAAACAGCAATGAGCAGCAACTCTGACCAAAATCTTCTTCTAAATCAGTAAATAAAAGTCCTTTTATCATTACTGACAGAAAGCAAGTGCATCAGAACCAAAGCATACAGAAGCCACAGGTGGGTATAATCTCAGATGTCCATATGATGATAATTCCTTAAATAGAAAAAAAATATATACCTTCAACTGAAAACGCAAAGTCAGTCACTTCAATTCTGTCTACACATTTAGTAAACTCTCCTGTTTGTCATGAAATGAGATATGTTCAAATTTACCTCGTCCGCTTGTGTCCAAGGGCGATGAGGGTATTTGATCCTTGTGAGGAACAGACTATGTAGCTTCATTCTCAGTTCCAAACCAGCTGCACCATCCTGTGACGGACATTAAAATATACACATATATACAAGTCATGTACTGATACACCAAAAAGTAAAAGTTTTACTTGATTTGAAGGGGAAAAAACTTTCGATAAAAACTTAAATAAAACTTCAGTAAGTTTACGGCTCATCCAATAAAACTAAATTGTATTCAACATAGAAAAACAAAACATCTGAGAACAACCAAATCATTTCTGGTCCTCCATTCACATCCAGGACAACATAAAGTGCCGCGACACTGACACCTACTGGTGCCACCACTGTTAGTGTGGGGGTCAACCAGCACGAAGGTTGGCAAAAGGAGACGCTCACCATTGAGCTGCAGTGGAAGGTGAGCCAGTCGTCAGGACGGAAAACTTTCATGATCCCACCGAGGTCATCAGCTGTCTTGGGCTCATCACCATCAGACTCAGGGTCAACTGATAAAAAAACAAAACAAAAAAACAAAAAACACATAAAACCTTAATTCAAGTTTCTCTGCATGAAACATGTGTGTTTTGCAGATTATCCCATGAGTGTCTGACAAGTGCACAAACTCACTCCACCTTGCTGTCATCTCTACATCTACAACAGAGGACAAACCAGAAAAACTGACAGTTCAAATAAACAAGACACTGGAATAAGTGGACGTAGGTATCTAAGGATGGCAATATAAGAACGTCAGCATGATAAAAATATTTAATTTAAGAATTTGACATTATATTTAATATGCTTTGAAAAAACAAAACTCATCATTTTTCATGATGACAGAATCTGCATGAGGGCTTGGCCAGCAAGTAGAATCAGAAATAAAAATTTCTTTGTCTTTTAAAACCAGATCATTCCTAATTGTTCCATTTGAGCTGTCAGATTTCTAAAGATTATCAGAGGAAAATATTGATTTTTCCCCCACTGATAAAGTCTTGTGATCAGCTGCTGAAAACAAACTGGTTCTTGCACACGATACAAAGTACAGCTGCCACAAATAGACAGTTTGGACAGGAAGAGAGAAGAGGAAGAGAGAGAAAGAATTGGGTGACTGAAACTGATAGAAACAGACAGACAAACAGACTGAAGGAGATGTAGACACGAGAGAGAAAGAGATGGGGTGAGAGTATATTGTGTCATTACAAGAGGACACTGACATTTATTCATGCTTTCAGGCATCACCTATGTTCAAATGCATAGGAGAAATATAATTATCAGCTTGAAACGAAGAAAAGCAGAAAACTAAAACAAATTTCAAACATTGATTGGCTTGGAATTCTATGGATTTGTTGAACTGTTGACCCCAAAAGCATAAAGACAAACTCGAATCCAAACGAAAGGGGAAATATCAACTATGGTCTACAAAGATGAAATGATAACAAAATCATAGCGCAGAGTTGTGGGATAGTAAATAGACCCACAGTAAACCAACAGAGGTAATAATCCTCTGTACAGAAGGGAGAGAATACCAAATGTGAATACCTATGCTCGGATCTGCATATACAATAATAACTTTTCTCTTCCTAAATGGGAAGTTGTCACAGTAACGGACTCAAATCACTAAAATTGCATGATCTCTTTTCTTTTCTTTACTGAAGGGGAAATAAAAACAGATTTGTTCCTGTTTTGCTATTTTAGGCAGCCCATTAATTGCGTCAGCTGTTTATAGCATAACACTGTTAACTTTTTTAGCATTTTCAGTTTGTGAAACACTTAGTTTTTTTCATTGGACTTTTTGTTACAACAGTGCATTCAGCATTAGGCCTATCGCCATTTGAGTAGCTTGCCATCTTGAAAGTCAAGGACGCCAACCTTTGACTCACGTCGCGATAAAAATGATACAATTTAGAAGACATTTGACGTGCCATGTATTATTATATAGGCATATGATCTTTTCTCTTCTCTTGCTTCTCCCTTATTCTTGCCACAGGTCAAGCGTTTCACTTCCAGAATAACTAACTCGTGTCTAGCAGGACATTAAACTCAATCACAGCCTACTCCCCTGCATTTGCAACCCCCCCCCTCCCCGCTGCCATATTCTTTCACCCCCCACTCTGCCTGCCAAACAACATCTGCAAATTTATAAAAACAAGTGAGAAACAGATGAACAAACTTGAACTTTAAACAATTAGGGGAAGGTGAATCAGAAAGCGGATGTAAAATACAGAAAGTAGAAATAGGGTCGTGACGCACTGTAGGAAGTTTTATGGTACAAAAAATTCCAGCTCTGACAATATGATAAGATGAGGAAACAGAACAAAGACAAAGCGGCAAAAGAGATAGAAGCTGGAAATTATACATTAATGTTCATAGCAATAGCAAATTAATGAAGATGAGTGAAAAACAGAAAGTAGAGATAAGCGATTGCTTTTCAGATTGTAAAGGTTTGCTGTTCAAATGGGGCAAGGACAGCACCTCAAGCCTACATAACTGACTATATCTAGAAATCCTGTTATCAAAACGGGATCTTTATCTGGGCATTCCACTTAACAAACACAAAATAGCTTTGGTAGACAAATAAATAAGGGGGCTCTCGTGGCCTAGAAGTTAAGGTGTTTGCCCCCCATTCAAAGGTCCTGGGTTCGAATCCGGGTAGCGAGCAAAACATTTTCTTCTCTACAATTGTCTCCTTTCACCTTCCTTCCTTCTCTCTAGCAATATTCTGTCATCTGCTTTTGTCTCCATTTTCTTCCCCCACCCCTTCACCTCCTTTGCCCCCTCCACTGGGCTCTTGACTCCTCGGCTCCTTCTTACTGCTGTCTTTCAGCCACACCCCTGATCTTCTGGTAGGAAAGATCTATACCTAGCTTTCTTGGACAAGGGTGAAAAATCTCTTAGGTTCCATGTGCAAGTTGCGAAGGTTAAAGATCCTTTGGTGGTCCAAAATTGATAAGAGTAGGCTTCGGCCGCCACCCGGGCAAAATTCAAAATTTCAAACCAAATGGAAATGTTTTGTGTGCCCCGCGCGCTCATATGACCTTCTTTAGTTGCGAGCGCAGTAAAACACTTACCAAAAAAAAACAAAAAACTCCAAATAAATAGTCAACACAGTTTAAGACAGCCACTGATTGTCGAGGAGAAATGTGGCCATCTTAGGCAGGTCTTATACTGTGTCATTATAAAGTAAGAAAATATGCAATGGGGGAAATGGGAAATGACCACTTGTACAGGTAATTGTCTTAAACAGGTGGCTGTTAGACCAGGTTCCACTGTACCTTTATCCTTCATAGCATTCTTTGGCACTTTGCTTGGTCCCCCAAAGAGGAACACCGAGAGAGCAGACACAAGGGTGCAGCCTCGAGCCTGACTGAATCGGCCCGCCCGACTCATCTCGTCATAAATGACCCAACGCGATGGCATGTCCTTGATTGTCTTCAGTAACAGCCTCTTGTAGGACCCATGATTGGCTCGCAATACTGGACCAATGACAGAGGTGTTCTGAAATCGTACATGGCTGTCCTTTCTGTGAGATAAACAAGAGAAATAAAAAAAAAAATTATTTCTGTGTCTTAGATGATGGAACTGAAAGATGAAAAAAGTGACGAAATATACTAATGACACTATATTTGTCTGTTTAAATAAAGAACAGCACACCACCCCAATAACAATTATTTTGTGTAAGAAAAAAGTAAGACAGACAAACAGAAACAAGAGGGAAAAGAAAGAAGAAACTGGGCAAGGGAAGAAAAATAAGCTACAAGTAGTACAAGTAGCATTCTCAAACCACTCACAACCTACTCTGTAGGAAAGGTAAAAGACAACAATAATTGTAATAAAGAGCTGAATAAAAATGTGATACTAAACTAACAGAATTGAAAAGAAGAACAAAAGAAGTAAATAGTAGTATAAAATGATGAATTCTCTTAAAACTAGGAAATAGCTACAAATAGAGCAATAAGTCATCATGGAAACAGATAGAAAAGGATGCTCAGGACAGGCTTCGTTGGAGTAATGCTGTTGATGGCCTGTGCTCCACTGGGAGTTAAAAAGGGCAAGAGAGAGAGAGAGAGAGAGCAATAAGTGCGTTGGAGTGACCAGCCCACAATTGCATTGTGAGAAAAATCGTACATGCTGAAAAGAGAAAAAAAACCAGGGGGGAAAAAAAAAAACGCTCTCAAGCTTTTCTATGGAGACTTTAAACTACACTTGGTTTTTGCTTGTATAGCTTGTGCAACAAAACTTGTCTGCAGTAGCATAGCACATATTTGAGATAGCTCACCCAGCCACACAAAAGCTATAAAAGTGTGCACACTTTGCTGTTACCACTACTGGTTTGTCATTATTTTAAAACAAATTAATTAGAAATTGTTATTTTTTTCATCAATATTTGTTTCCACATTTTGAACTGACAGCATCATCTTGAAAAGGTTGAATGCAAACTCGATCTGAGGGGACAGTGTACCATTTAAAGATAAGAGAGAGAGCAAGGAGATAAGAGGAGAACTTGTCAACGGTTGACAGCTGATAACTTTGTTTACTCAGCCTGAGGGTAGCATGAAAACAACCATGGTCCTATCATACTGACAACACCAATCAACCAAAACCAAAGCCCTCTTTCCAACCACTACATAAAAGACAGTTTTTGGCAACTTCAATCATTTTCCACTCATCTGGGCTTTTTTCATGCATTGTTTTCTGAGAAGGAATTAAGTGGAACTGTTTCAAGAGGATGCTACAAGTGTCATTAAAAGATCTACTACCCGAGCCATTTTTCAAAGCTTGACTCCCCAATGTGCAAATAGCCCACGATTTATCTTTACATTACTGCATGTACTTCGCACATTAACGGAAGCATGTACTTCGCACATTAACGGAAACACGACTGTCCAAAATGTTATGTTATGGACTAATAATTTCACTGACCTCTATACGGACATTTTCAAATTTATTTCACATTTTCGAACTTTCCTTTACATTGCTTTTCTTTTCACAGTAGACATCTAAACAAAGGATTCATTCAGTTGAACCGAAAAAAAACCCAACTACACACTTAACAAAAATATCCAAATACAACATACTACCCCATAAAGTGGTTTCACTTTGTCTCAATCACTGACATTTAAACCCATAGGGGTAAAGCATAAACAGGTTTCAGGAAGAACAAGATTTGAAATAACAAGAACACTAATGAGAGCACCTCTCAAACTGTTCCTAAATCCACTCTGTAATACCTATGTACAAGTCACTAGAATTTACTTTTTTTTTCGGAAAAAGAAAATTGGCGTCTTGCACTACTATATTGTGCACAATATTAGCAAAGAAAATCAGTAATGGATGACACCATAGAAGAAAAATTAGTGAGTGAAAAACACTTGGTGCCTTTCGCTAAGTTCGGCATGGCGGCGGCTGTTTTCATAATTGTAGAAAGTTCCCTGACACTCAGCATAATTGCCCGAGAACCCTACCTGCACAACACTGTGAACTTTCTCATCTCTTCATTGGCTGTGTCTAATATATTCGTTGCAGGAGGCTGCATGATCATGGGACCCGTTTTCCTTGCCTTGGTGAAAACTGACCCAAGCAGCCCTCTGAAATTAATTTTTTGCTCTCTCTGTATGGGCATCTACATAGCCATAATCTTTGTGCTAAGCTTCCATATGCTAATCATATCCATCATTCGTCTTTTGCAATTTAAATGTAAAAAATTCTACCGCAAGAGACTTAGCTCCAAAGTTATGTTCATTATTTTCCTTTGCTTGTGGTCATTTGGCACCTTGTTTGTGATCATTCCTCTGTGTCTGCCTTATCACGATGTGAAAAGAAAGTGTGATTTTGAAAGGCTTCCGGCAGCATATGTGGTTTGGGTTCCCTTTGGCGTGTACATAACAACCCTGCTGGTGATGCTGACCGCTCACATTCTGGCTGTTTGTGGCATGGGGAAAAGGAACCAGCGAGTGGAACCAGAGCAGGGACAAGGAGATATCACTCCTCAGCCTCGCAGGAAAGTGGAAAGTCAGGCAAAAGAAGTCGTGAGGAAAAATTCTGTCAAGTTATTCACTCTACTATTTGTCATATATTTTCTTTTGTCATTTCCAGCTTATATTGTGCAAATCTTGAATCACTTGTTCATTGTCTACCCTTCAGTTAAACTGGCAGTATATTTTTTGCCTGTGTCTTTCTGTGGTCTGAACATGCTTGTATTTGCAATTGTAGATCAAGACTTCAGAAAAGGAACCAAACAACTGTTCAAAGACATGAAAGATAAAATTTTCAGGAAATAAAATTTTAATCATTAGTCACTTACCTTTGGTTCATTTTAGGAGAATAAAAGTAGATGATCCTTGAGACATCAAAGATAATGTATTTCTTTAAGTATTGAGATTTTCTTGAAGTAATTTGAATTGTAGAATATACCTCTGTTTTCTTTTTTTAGTGGAAAGAAAATATGAACTGTATGTGTGGCATCATTGTGAAATCAGGCGCTTGACAAAATAATGAAATTGAAGGAACCAGCATTTTCTGCCAATTTGGCAATTTTTATCCAATTTTTGTTTAGGCTCAACACCTTTTATGTCCATTTAAAACCATTAATGTGTGAATTTTACTGCAAAACGTTGATTAAAGGCACAAAAAATCTAAATTTTCACTTTCCAAATACTCTAAATCTATGGAAGTCCCCAAACTTTAGCTGCCATTTTCTTGCTGAAGTGAAACCAGGCGAACCCCACCTCCTTCAAGGGCAAATATCAGTTTTATTTAAGATTGACGGGTATTTTTTTTTTCAGTGAAAGCAAGACAAATGAACAAGAATAACTCCACATGCCCAAAAATTAATGAGAGTCTGATTCCACCAAGTCGAGACATATGGAAAAAAAATCAGAGAGCACCACAAGAGCCAAAAAATTCAATTTCTATATAGGAAATACGTCAAAGATTTTCAGGAGTTCGTATTAATGTGCTGAATGTACTACTACTACTTATAACTAGGACAATACCTTTTTATGAGTTTCTATTTAAGTATTAGTTGTTTACTCTACATTTCGTGTATCAAAGGAAAAATGTCCTCTCTTCATAAGATAAATCAGAAAATTATCTCCCACCCAGGAACTAGAATTTGCATTTGCAGATATTTCTCTGATTGAAGATTCTATATTTAGTATAGGTCTATTGAAAACATGTTATTTCTGCTGTGGTTTTTAAAATAATTTTCTTGCTTTAGCTACACATGTAAATTTTCACAATTACATTAATCTGTTGTTTTGTCTTTTTTCTAATGTGTGTGTTTAAGTTTCATGTCCCATCAATACGACTTAGATCATTTAGGAGGTGGGATTCGAACTTGCCAGTCAAGACTAACCATGGACGAGGGGGGTACAATGACCCAGCAGACGGAGATACTCGATAAAAATTAACCCTCTCGAGAATCAAACTCACGTCTTCTGCATGTGATGGCAAAGCACCAAACCGCAGATACCCATCAGTAATTGGTTCATGTAAGAGGAAATACAGGGCAAATAATCTAAAGAGAGTGGTCAATCATTGACACATACTGTCTTTACGACTGATGAGCTAACAATCATATTGTGTTAAACTATCATTTTAGAAAAGGGACTTTCGGCAAAACTAGACTGAGCAGCCTTTCATATCAAAGAAGTTCAGGGATTTAGTCCCACCAGAGCATGAATTTTTGCTAACACTTGGGTACTTAATTTTAAGGACCCTAATTTCAATGTCATGGTGTTCAAAAGGAACTGATCTTTCAGTTGCTGAGCAAATATGTGTGTATTTGATTCATCAGTTTTTAAATTTTCATAAAAGTTCGCATGAATTACAAATCTCTCTCTCTTCCTGTTCATGTGTCTATGCACGTGTGTGTGTGTGCATGTGTATGTGCGTGTGTGGGGTTTTTTTTGGTCTTTTTTTTTGTAAGTGTTTTACAGCGCTCGAAACTACATAGGGTCATATGAGCGCGCGGGACACATTTAACATTTTCAGTTAGAAGGAAATTTTGAATTTTGCTCGGGTGGCGGCTGAAGACTACTTTTATCGATTTTAGACCACCAAGGGATCTTAAACGTGCGCAACTTGCACACGAGACCTCCGAGGTTTTTCGTCTTTGTCCGAGAAGGCTAGGTGTAGATCTTTCTTACCAGAAGATCAAAGGTGTTTTAGTTTTAGTAGAGGTTTTACGGCGCTTGCAACTGCATACGGTCATATGATCGCCAAAGGGTGAATGTCAACAGAGAAGTCCTTACAGGGAATCAGGCTTACTCTGCTCACCTCTCTAGCTTCAAAAGCACAAAGTCCGCTTCGACTATCAAGGCACCCCGGAAATAGCACGTCACAAGAGTGAGACAAACATACAAAAGAAGTAGAGGAAAAATGACGATAGTAAGAATTTGGAAAGAAAAAGCAGCAGTTCCCTGTTGCAGTTTTTGCACAGTTCTGAGCATGACATTGATGAATCAGCCCATTTACAATTCTACTGTGCATAAGTACAGCTTAATGTCCCCCTTTCGTAATGGCCTAAAGACACTTCAGTCAGTATCACCGCCCTGGGGGGTGGGTCAAGGGTGTGGCCGAAAGACAACAGGAAGAAGGAGCCAAGGAGTAGCAGTAGAAAGGCTGCAGAAAGAGTCAGAAGCCCAGAGGAGGGGGCAAAGGAGGTGAGGGGGTTGGAGCAGAAAGCGAAGATGAAAGCAGATGACAGAACATTGTGCATGTGTGACTGGTAGATAAAGGAACAACACACAACTCTTGAAAGTGTGTCCAGAAGAGAAACTCAAAACCTGCACTTAGTGGCAGCTTTTTAATTCTTACCTTGTGTTGAGAGAAGTAGGAGTGGCTTTCTGAATGATGTTTGGGTACGTTCCCGCCACAAGACAAGCTTTCACAACAGCCCAATTGTCAGCATTTGCATTGAGATCTCGGACGCCGCCAAGTGCTCCTTGAGTTCTCAAAAAACCTGAAAGCTTTAACTGATGCAAAATTTGCATTCTGAGGACAGAAAAGACCAGAAACTGTGAGTATAAAAAATAATTTTCCATCATAAAATGAAGTGTCTGTTCAAATGAAATGAGTGAAAACCAACACTATATGTATTAATATATGTTAACCATTTTTCTTATCTCAGTTCACTGCATCAGGGTCAAACAAAAAGTTATAAGATTGGAGTGAAAAAATGGGAAGGGGTTAAGTTAATTGAGCTAAAACTTTACTCCGAATGTATCACATTTAACAGAAAACAAGAGAGTGGTACAAAAGATATTTACTTACCTCATTCCCACCAGCATATGCATAGTAGCAGATGAGACACTATACTTATCACAGAACTCATATTCTCGTCCATCTAGGCGAGCCTTCTGCCACAGCTGCACATCCAGGGGGGAAAAAGTGGAAAAGGCTCATAATGAGAACTAGCATTAATATACAAATGATAATCAGACCATCAATACAATGTCAGTAATGGTGTTTTACAATTTCTCAGTTGATTTTGAGGTTTTACTTAAAAAACAGTATTTCAAATATGCATACATATCGAAATATATTGAACATCAAATATCTTTATTTCACAAACAAAATCAAGGCAAAAAATTCTATCAAACAAACTAAAAGACCTCTCTCCTCTAAAATATTTCCTTTCATGAACACACCCTCTATGGTCTACGATCACTAAAGTACTTTAGCTGTTTATCAAATATGTCCAGGGAAGTATAACACCTACTTAAAAGGTTCACAAAGCATTTGTTAATAATTTACAAAGAGAAAAAAAACAACAACTGGAAATGTGGTTTTAAAAAGTTGGGAAAAATGACTTCCACACGGATGATCCCATTCTGCAGAAAAAGAACAGATCATTTCTATATGCTACGCAACTAAATAAGAAGATCATACATCAGAAGCTGGACTAAAAACTGCACCAATACACATGAATATTGTGTTCAAACGTAGTTAATAAAACTTTAAAGGCACCATTTCTTCAAAACTCATAACCACTGAGATAAAAAAAGTGTAAGAAATCAACCATTGAATATATACACTGACATCTCCTGTGAGACACTAACGTCCACTCTTTAAGCAAAGTTATGAGAACACCCCTCAATCAGATATAAATGTGAGGTAGCGTGGTGAAATCAGGCGCTTGTCAAAACAGTGAAATCAAAGAAACCGGCATTTATCTGGGCAAAGTTGGGCAATTTTTTTTCGATTTTATCTTTTTTGCCTCAACACCTTTTACGTCTTTTAAAAAAACTATTTCTGTGTGGATGATACCGAAAAATGTTCATTAAAGGGACAAAAAAGTAAATTTTCGGTTTACAATGACACTCAAGCTTTGGAAGTCACCAAACTTTGGCGGCCATTTCCTCGCTTATTTTATCTTTCATATCAACCGACCCCCACCTCCTTCAATCCCAGATATCTCGACTTCTATTCAAAATAGATGGGTATTCTTTCTGCCAAATGCAAGACAAATGAACAAGCTTTAAGATACTACCAATGACTCCTTATGCCCAAAAATTGACAAGCACCTGATTCCATCACATCCTGACACAAATGATGAAGAGAAGATTAGAACCTTGAACAGGCCCATTGATGTCTCATTTCAGAAAATATCTAGCAAGGGACTAATTCTCTATTTTCTAACCATAAAGAAAAGCACACTTACACAATGATAGTGATAAGTATTGCTAGAAAACAAGACAACCCAATAGAATGATAGAAAGAAAGGAAAGAAGTAGTCCCTCCAAAAAGCTTCCAAGACCACCCGCAAAGAATCTTCCGCGAGGCTTATATGATACACAATTTGTAGCAATAACAAAAAAGTGATGCCTATCATTCTTGAGCAAAATCCTTCGTTAAAAAACATTCGCTCACCTGAAAAGCTCGTAAGAAAACAAAATGATCACTGTAGGTCTGCTCCGCCAATTTTCTGCGAATGCCAAGGACATTTCTTCTCATGTATGGTTGTGTGGGTAAAATAACTGCGAAGGAAAGAACAAAATGTGATTGGTTTTTTAACATAAAAGTAAAAGAATAGACAATAGCAATTTTAAGAAAGCATTTATAACAATAGAACCTCCCCCCCCTCCTCAATACACACAAAAAGACAGTTTCTTTGACTAACTTGGAGTAGTCCCTTTGAGGTTTAACTCTTTCTGTAATGTACAGCAATGTATGTGTGTTTGTGTGTGTGTGTGTGTGTGTGTGTGAGCGTGTGTGTATGTGTGTGTGTGTGTGTGCATGTGTGTGTGTGTTTTATTATTTATCCTGCAGTATTACATCAAGCACTCCTAGTCCAAGTCCTAGTCTAACACCCCCCAAAAGAAAGTTAAGTCCTGAAAGACGCTTCAACCAATGTGGATGAACTTAAGTTGACCTCGTCAACGGACGGTCCTCGATACACGTGGAACTCACACGCTGAGGTCATGTCATGTGATGCAAACGCAGGATTGAAACAGTTTTACAGACAGGTCTTGATGACTGGCCCAACTAACCAGAACTCAGACAAAGCTTGTTTTGAAAGTAACAGAAGAACTATGAATAATCATTTGTATGTAGCAATTGAAACAGTTATCAGGCCATCATCGGAGAATTCGGAGTGGAAACAAAAGCTAAAATAGATCTTGAGAATGTCCCAAGTTGGACTGTCAAATCGATACTATTTCCATTACAGTTAAAATAACGCGTGCGAGCAAAGTTCCAACACAAGTTGGGGCGAGTCAACTTCTAAATCCAGCATCCATATTTCGGAAAATAGTGCTCCGAGTTCCTGCTGACATGAAGTTCAACAAGTGCTTCCCGTGACAGAGAAGAACGCTGAGTAAGCTTTTAGAAAAATCCGGTGCAACAGATGAAACACAAAAATCGGGATACACGTGATCGAAATGGGGACAATCGGGAAGCTTGAGAATTGAGGCAAAAAATCGGGGTATCCCGATTAAATCGAGACGAGTGGCATGTCTGCTATATCAACCAATTACTACATCTACTTATGCTCAGATTCTAGATACATAAATTCATTGCAGTCACAAGCCTAAGCCATGGCTGGTATAGTAAGACTTAAGTTATGAAGTTGAAGACAAAGTAAGTAATAAGCTAATATACGTGATCATAAGAATGCTCATAGAATTTTTACAAGCAAAGTCATAAAACCTTATTGAAGGGCAATTGCTGCTCGTGACACTAAACTCAGTGTGCAAAGAAGGCAATCACTAATACATTTGGTATATTATGACAAACCCATTCCCTCCCTCTTTAAACTATCATTCATGACAAGATGGAAAAAATACAAAACAAACCTTAATAAAGAACGACTGTGTCTCTTTTTTCCTAAAACCAGCACAAGATAGTGTCTAATGACCTAAATCTACACTATGGTGAGCTGGGGCTGTGTCTGGAACACTTACACGGCTCCCGGTGCGCCATGGTGCACACAATGGTGAGCACTGGGTCCAAACACTTGAGCACAACAGCATACAGAACCATTTTGCCCAGCTTTGGCTCCACTGGCAGGTCCACAAGGTGCTGCCCCAGCTCTGTCAGCTCTTCCCATGGGTCCAAGGCATCAATCTCCTACTCAGGAAAATTAGGGAAACATAATTTAAATAAAATAGATACAAAATAAATATATATAGGAGTCAATTTTTCATTCTCATTCTTTTCCACTACTGAGCTGGTTCAGTAGTTGGCCCTCAGATGTAGCTGACAGTCTGTGTTAGAAAATAATATTCAGATAAAAATAGAGAGACCTGTAATTGCAACACATATTTCAATTTGTATGAAAGTCAACAACAGTGGAGAGAATACCTATCTCACAAGAAAACACCCCAAACTTTATACAGCTCACTTTGTTCTCATTTAATTTTTAAAAGTGAATTTTTGTCTCAGTGTCTACCAGGTGCATGGCATGAATGAGGCCACACAATTCAGGTTGTGATACAAAATCTGGCAGTTCAAAATCAACAAAGTTTGGAGCAACTTTGTAGGTATTATACAAAAACTTCACATATACACCCACTGTGGAGGTACTTTTGGTGACCCTTTTTATACATCTTAGAATGCATAACACATTCCAGGATGGACGGGCCTGAAGCTGAGCAAGGCACTGAGAAAGTGAGAGAAGAGATGTGGATAGAGGGAGCTGGTTTGCAAGTCACCTGCGATGCTCCCCCACAACCTATAACAACTGAACAATTAAACTAACAACTGTTTTAAACATTATCATTATTCACCAATACTTATTCAGAAACCATGACTAAATTATTTTTTCGCTACTGTCTTCCATATCGGTGAAGTCTTTGGTAACAAAATTTACTATTTCAAAAACAGCAAAAAATATTTAATATTATCATAAAATGTGAAATATAAAATGGTGTGAGTGTATATTAGAATCTGCTGCACTACAAACTAATTTAAAAAATGAGAATGACTGCAAGGTAAATGAAACCAATTGTAAAAAGTTCTTGACACTGACCTTCAACAACTGCACAGCATTGATAATAACCAGTGGAGGGGGAGCCTGGGGACACTTGGACAAAAACCCTGTGATAGTTTCTGTATTGGGCGCCAACAGCTTTGTGTGCAAGCATACTTCCTGCGGAAAAAAAAAACAATCGAAAGAAAGGGGTCCATGAGTAAACAAGAATATAACTGAAAAGAGGAAGGGGGAGGGATGGACGGATAAATGGATGTATGGACAAAATGCCTCTGTTGATTTCTCTACTATAGCATTTTCTTTCCATGTCTGACAACTTACATGATATCTATTTTATTACTCAAAAAGCTTTCCATTTTTTCCACCCTTATCTTAAAATCTGTATAGAACACATCCGAAATACCATGGACTTTTTAAAGTGATATGAGGTATACTCAGAAACATAGGAGGAAACAAGTGTACTTCTTGCTGATCCAAACAGAAAGAAAGAATGCTTCTTACCTGTAATGGAAGCCTTAAAATTTCAGGTGTGGGATAATCTTGCAAGTGCACATAGCGTCCTCGACTGAACAGGTGATAGCATTTTCCTGCTTGACATCTTCCAGCTCTACAAGCAGCACAAAGCAAAAAACAATATTCTTTAGCGACTTTATCAATTTAAGCAGTTTTATGTTGATCTAGCAATGTAGAATGAACGACTTTCAGCATATGATCGGTTAATGTATTCTTCAAGTCTTTATTACAATAATGAATTCTAGTTTAATTTTGAACCACAAAAACATATTCCTTTTGACTTTTCACATATTCTAACATTATTCTTTCTGAGACAGCCTCCTTAAATTGCAAACTAAAAGAAATTAAGTCCATAGAATGACATTCCTAGAGCCTGGTGACTTTTCCTTATTCGTCAGTCAGTAAATACTTAAATCTCCCTTTATGATTTAAAGAAGGAGGATCAAAGTTCTTTTTCTTCCAATGTTGTGTACCTTGACTAAAATCTGAATAAGAAAGCAACATGACTTTGTGGGTCCTGCTTCCTTTTTTCCCCTGTTGATTCTGTCTGTCTGTCATGTTTTTCTCCGGCACTAAATAGGCTTCATTGTATCATTGTGCTTCTCATTAATCAAACTCAAAACAAACAAAATGTCTTAGAGACTAATTCAAAACACTATAAACCATCACTTGTTTTCTCTTCTTCACTGGCAATGTTCACATTACCTTCCTTTCCTCTGCAGAGCACTTGCTTTTGATATCCAGTTAGAATTCAATGTTGAAAAGTTACTCAGGGCATCAAACGTTTTCTAAGGAATAGAAAGAATATATGTATTATTTTCCTTTCTTCTTTCTTGGCTAGAAAATACAATGGCTGATCCCTTTTCTTTCATTTCTCCCTGAAGATGTGATCTTACTTCCAGACCCTGGCACTGAAAGCAATCAGAACATGAACACTGTCTATTCAACCCAACTCAGCCACAGTATCTAAGGCACCTCCTCCTTGAACATGACTTATGCACATAGACATCACAGTGTACGAGTTTCTTTGCATGACTTTCTTTTTAATCTTACTTAGTAGTCTTCATTAACCATTAAATAAAACAGAGCACTTTAAAAGCCAATTACTTCATCATATTATCTTATTGTTTCACAAATAACCACTATAACAAGTTAAGACTGGGGCAATATTTTGTTAGCCATTATTTACAGACATACTGGACAATTCTTTGATCAATATATTTCTGATACTCACATATGTATCAATTAATGTGAAAATTTAGTTCTAAGGATGGGGTACTTTCCATACAGATTATGAAAATATCCAAAAAAGAATTGTTTGTGTCTAATCAAGCTCAGTATCATATCCAGTATCAAACATTTAAAGACTAATAATAATAATTAAAATAGTTCGGCTGCCAGAGTTTGGCAATGACCACAACTATCCACAGAGGAGAAGGTTTGGGATTTTTTCTTTTCTTTTTTCTTTTTACGGCACTCGCAACTGCATAAGGTCATATGAGCGCACGGGACACATTAACCATTTTCACTTGGAAATTTTTTATTTTGTCCGGGTGTCGGCCGAAGCCTACTTTTTATCAATTTTGGACCACCAAGGGATCTTTAATGTGCGCAATCTGCACACGGGACCTCCAAGATTTTTCGCCCTTATCTGAGAAGGCTTGGTCTTAGATCTTATCTACCTTAAGATCAGGGGTGTGGCCGAAAGACAGCAGTAAGAAGGGGCCAAGAAGTAGCAGTAAAAAGGCTGCACAAAGAATTAGGAGCCCGGAGGAGGGGGGCAAAGGAGGTGAGTGGGTGGGGGCAGAAAGTGGAGACGAAAGCAGATGACGGAACACTGTAAGAGAGCAGGAAAGGATGTGAAAGGAGAACATTTTAGAGCAGATAATTTTCGTTGCAATCCGGATTCAAACCCAGGACCTATTGAATGAGAGACAAATATCTGAACCTCTAGACCACAAGAGCCCCCAAAGAGAATGTTTTTTAACACTTTGCCCCCCATGGGACGCCGATCGGCGACGGTGTGATATAGCGTGTACCACATCTGTATCCTAGTCCATGGGGATAAGTGTTGCCCGCTCTGTGCATTGCCTGGGCGGAAAGTGTTAAAGAGAAATAGAAAAAATAAAGATCAAGATGATCTCTGGCTTCTGCTGGCCAGTGAGACCAACTCTGGCAGAGAGAGAAGAGTTGTCACATTTTTAGCATTTAAAAAGTTCATTTCTACTTTCAGACAATTTAAAGACTACTGGGTTTTCTTCTTATCACATTACCTCTTTGACTTTGCCACTATCAATGACATATACCACATCATTGATAGTTACTGATGTCTCTGCAATATTTGTAGACAAAATCTGGAGAATGAAAAAAAAAAAACTTCCATAAAAATGAGAGCTGCTTTACCTGATTTTCTAATACAGGAAAAATAAAATGTTACTTCTTAGCCTTAACCTAAGTAACTCAGGAAAAACAAGAAATGCACCAACTGGGAATAGCAGCCCACTTCAGTCTGGTGCATTGCAATATGAATCTTTAAAACCCTTTATCTTAGATTTTAAAAAGCAGAAAATAGTCTTTTGAACCAACAATTATATGCTAAATGCTTCAGCATAAACAAAACAAAACCAAAAACTGTTAAGAGGGCAAGCCACATATATTAGCTTTCATTAATTGGTTCAAGAACCTTTGACTTACTACCCCTTTAGCACTCAAATGGAGAACAAAGAGAAAGGGGAGGGGGGGGGGGACAAGTGTTTCCTTCTCTTGCCCCCCCCCCCCCCCCCCTTTTTCACATTCCAAGCTTTTCCCCTCCCACCTAAATACACCCCCCCCCCCCTAAAAGAAAAAAGAAAATGAATAGAAGCAAAAATACAACAATATAGGCATATTTTAACAAAACAAACATACAATTTTTCGCACTCCTTTTGAGGTTGCTCTGAAGACCTTTTTCTGTTCTGAAGCTTGGATGGACGAGTGGAGAGTGAAGAGGAGAAAGGTGTTTCTGTTGGCAAATAAAATTACATACAATGTCAATGAACCTTGCTGAACTTAAAGGTAAAACTTCTGTGTCTTATTCCAAACGAAGTTGTTAACCAAAATAAACTAAATTTTTTCACTAAAGATACCATTGAAATTCAATGTACCAATCGATGTTTTAGTACAAAAATGATAATCAACCTTCCTTGTTCACACAGTTCTCTTACTACGAAGTCTGAATCAATGTAGGGAAACCAGATGTCTGAAAAGTTTCAAGTTAATAATACAGTCGAACCTGCCACAATGGAAACCTGCCATAACAATCTCCCTGCCCCCCCCCCGCGTTTGATAAATTCCTTTATAATTACCTCTATAAAATGTAAACCTGTCTAATGCAGAAACAAAGAGAAATTCCTTCTTTTTGAAGGGTTTTTATATGTTTAAGACGGAAAATACCTTGCACACTCATCAGCCCAAATTTGAAAAAAAACTTAAGTTTGGTTCCATCGTCTCTAACCTTTACGTGATGCCGCCAGGCGAGGAAGAGGAGCAGGGGTGCAATTTGGGGATTGATGTTCCTCAAATTGTTGTTACATGCATGGGAGGGGTGGCATTGGTTGACTGTGCTTATTACACCGATGGGCAAGTATAAGGGTTGGAGCAAAAGAGATGTTAAAATATTTCTGTTTTTTTAATAGGTTAAACAGTGGTCCTATGAGATGCAAGCACTGGCGGCAATGGATAAGCAGAACTGACGCATGCCATTATCAGAGAGGATAGCACTTGAGAGGTGTGAAGTTTTAACCATTGACTGCTGACCGGACAAGCGACCCTTGATCCCACCACATGGGCCTCTGAAACCCCCTCCATCTCCCCCTAAATTCCCCTGTCTATGAAAGAATTTTTCCCCCGGCTCCCTTGCAATTCCATCTTACACAGGTTTGACTGTACTTTAAAACATCCATGACAAAAAGGGCTATTACAAATTGTAAATGTATAATAACTTTGAATAAATTTGTTAGATCCCATTTCATTATGATTATCAATTGCAACATGAAAACGACCATAGAACACAAAAAGACAGGAATCGAGTGGATTGACATTATGGATGCAATTTGAAGACCAGGACTTTGCAGATGATTTTGCTTTATTTCACATAGTCACCAACAGATGAAGAAGGGAGCAAAAGATGAAAGGTGTTAAAGCACATCCAGACAAGACAAAGATATTAAGGGTCAAAAACCACCATCAATGACCTAAAATTGATTCCTTCACTTACATAGGTAGCATTATACACAAGAAACAGATGCAAATGTAAAGACAAGAATAAGCAAGGCAAGAGATGCTTTCACACAACTTAGAAAAGTGAACAATCCAACGGATCACAAACAAGGAATCTTACAATACAAACTCCTAAAAGCTAGAAGCATTTATCAACAGCTGCTTCAGATAAATACAACAAATTAATTGGAGTGACATCTTCAGAAATTATCAACTACAGGAGCAAATAAATCAACAGAAAATAGACACAGAAATCATAAAGAGAAAAAGGAAGTGGACAGAACACACTTTGAGAAAACTGAAAACAAACTTTACCCACTAAGCCTTAAGGAATCCATAACAAAAGAGAAAGAAAGAATGGACTAAAAGTACTTGGATGGAGGACTAAGATTCCAACCTACTAAAAGTTGATGAGATACAGCTGGACAGAGGTGGAGACTATAGCTCAGTACAGTAGTACATGAAGAGCTCTTGTTTGTGACCTATACTCCCCTACGAGGTGATGACTGAATCATAAACGTTGAAAACTTACTTTTTACTTGCAAACCTTTCGTCATGTATTATCTTTCCATGTACTGTCATGATGTCTTCATACCCGGGAAGAAATACCAAGATGGCACCTGCAAAAGTCAAAATAAATGTGTACTCCATTACAGCATTTACAAAACAACTTGCAAAGAAACCTCTATATCGGTAAAAAGCACTTCTGAAACAAGAGCAATAAAAATTTTTAAAATGAAGTAACAGGTCTTTTCCATCCAAGCATTAGCCAGCACAGAGTTAATACTAATCCGAATCAAACAAGTAAGGTAACTTTTGTACGTCCCTGATCAAAAACCCATCAAAAAAATTCTTTTACTTAAAGTTCCAGAGTATACATTCCATGGTAGAAGAACTCATAGTGTTCACATAGACAAAATAACCCATGATACAGAAGTTTACTGAATATAAATATCTTTCAGGCCTTAATACTTTTTAAAAATAAATGTACGAGACAGATTTGAAGCTATGAGAAATTACCTTCTTTACAGTCGAAGTGGAGTTTTAAAATGAGTTCAGTGATTAAATCAGTATCCACTTTCTCATCATCAAAGCTGTGTTGATAAGCACTGAGAAGTTCTCTGTCTTCAGCTGATATCAGTTCCATGTCCTCATCTTTGGCACTGGCTAATCTGGATTCTGAAGCGAGTCTGATGAGGCAAAAGTTGCGGTGAGGTTATATCCCTTGGGGCAAAACATGACCCATTCATACAGAAACAAATAAAATATCTATCCTGAAAAGCTTAAATGTTCAAATTGCAAGACATGTCATGGTAAAGGAAACATAGATCCTGTTCTGGGTTTTTTAGTCAAAACATAAAAGTGCCATTACTACTAGTGACACATTGATGGAAAGAAAAAAGAGTAGGCAGAACAAAAATATGATTGAGCAAACAAAATAAGATCGATCCACTAAGACCAAAATAACTTCACTTATTTCAGCGTTCATTTTAAATAATCCTCATTAAAAAACATGCAATGCAATAATCTGAAATAAGCAATGTGAGAATTTCTCCTTTTTTCTGAAGATAGGAACAACCAACACATAAAAAGTTTTCATATCAATAATATATATTTCCATCTCTTCTTGAGAACCTGGTTTCAACTATAGACATCAATGCCGTTCTCTTATTTATTTGCAGCCCTTTTCCTCCCCCCCCCCCAAAATGGAAGAAGAAACGTAACTATTATAATGGCGGAATAACACACACACATTCAGATGAAAGCCCTGATGAGTAAATTTTATGTTAACTGAAGTATCAAGTCCCCCTTCTTTTCTTGCTTCTTTACTTTTCCCAACAACATTCTGTGGGGCATGAAACTTACAAAAAAATCAAACACCCTCATTTATTTGTATCACTTGAAGTGAAGCACAGTGACATAGTAATAGATTTTCATCGCTGAAATCGGAAATCTGTAGCACCAATCAGTAACAATGTCAAACTCCCGTCTTCTCACCCAAGTCCAAGAAGCACCACCACCACCAAATACAGAAATGAGTGACTAACGCATAAGCTTGCAGAAGCTCCACAATCTCCTGCTGTTCAAACTGCTTGGCAAAGTCAATGGCCGTCCACTCGTGGTTTGTCTTGACGTTGAAGTTGGCCCCAAGGTCGAGCAGATGCTCCACTATGTCCACAAAGCCTCGGCCAGCCGCAATCATCAGAGCTGTCACGCCCGATTCTGACTGCTCATAATCCACTGGTAGAGAGGAATATAATGCATAGTGAAAACTACAGTATTTGAAGCAATCTACCTTCTTTATCCATATAATGTACAGATATTAACTTGTTGAACCACCAGTGGAAATAGAGCATGAGCGGCCTTTTATTCTATCATAAAAAGATAGTATCAAATAGTTTGAAAGATCAGAAGTTTTTTTTACTCTCAACAGACAGAAATGTAATGTCACTCGCTGGAAACCATGCAAGCCAGCACAGTAGGACATAAAAGCAATGTAAAATCCCTGAACCAAATACTAGTGAAACTTGATTAGAACCAACAAAATTGCATTCAAACAATAGAAATCTTTTCAAAGGAAAAAAAATGATAGATTGTACGACGCCAAGATAGAAAAAGAAGCTTACCGCTGATGTGTTCACTGGAAATTAGAAGCAATATTTTGTGGAACAGTTCCTTGTTGCCAGAGAGCCAGACCTCTTGAAGAAGGTCATCCATTTCTTTTTTTACAGCAGGATCCAAATTTTCTTTCTCTTCCCCTAGCTGTATCGGGGGGGGGGAACAGACACAATCAGACCAGTTAAATGTACAAATATTGAAACCTTTTGCACACACATAAATTGACATTTCCTTGAATTGAACTTCTGGAAAACCAATTACAGTAAGCCATCATGTATTTTGGAAGAAAATAAGTTAGCAAAATGAACAGGTAGAAGAGAAATAGTTTTGAGTCCGACACAAGTACAACAACACATTAGCATACATTCACATGCATATATAAAAGTACCAACATGTAGTTTTTGTTCCTATGAGAATGGATAGAGAAAGACTCATTTCTAATTTCAAGACGTAAAAATGACAATAATCATTGCAGTAGCACATACTGTGGCATGGGACTAATCACCAATGCTCCATCTTACCTGTTTACAAATAGAAATACAACATGGCTTGTAAAGAGAGGTATGTCATTAATTTAGCAAAGTCAATCAACATAATCTAAATTCCTCAAACAATATTTCTTAAGTAAATAACTCCATCTATAGAAAATAAACAATACCACAGTCTTTAAAAAAAACCCACACACCTCTTCCACATTATCTGATGTTGTGACATCTGAGTCGTCTTCAAAATCACTGTCCAGTGTCTCACCAGATGTGGCATCTTTTACAGAAAACCACTCAGACAGAAGATCCTCTGTTTTTTTGGCTGCAAAGTAACAAGTCCAATGACGATGATGGTGAATATAGATGTGTGTTGATGTGCATATTCATATCCTCTACTGTACTCCTAAATTCGGCTCACACTTTTTCTCAAATTTGGCAACATAAATGGTGAATAATGTGCGATCAGAAATGCACAATTACAAAAGTAAAGTACTATCTCCTTGCCTTATCTTCGTAAATATTATGGCATCTGTGGTCTAGTGGCTGGGCTGTTGCGCTTGTTATTGAAGTCATGGGTTCAAGTCTCCTTAGGGACCTGACATTGTGCCCTTGAGAAAGGCACTTTTCACAAATTTTCCTCACCTCACCCAGGTGGGAATAGGTACCAGCTACAGATGGTGAAAGATAATGTCAATATGGTGAGCAGTCAATCAGCTGCTTGTACTGTATGCTTCCCCAGAAGCTGTGAATGTTCCTGAGTGATCTAGGGTCAGCTAGGGTAATAATACACGTAAAGCACATAAAGGATGCTGTTGAGCATTGATATGTGCTATATAAATGCAAGCATTAACACTTCCACCCACGCAGCTCGAAGAGAGCACAACATTTGTCCCCATGGACCGGGATGCAGATGCGGTACATCACTACTATACCTGTATCTTGGCAAAAATACCAAACCATTATAAAAATTTCAGCATACTGAGAAAATTAAAAGTGATGATCGCATGTTCACCGAAAAAGGAATTAGAATCGGAACTGAAAACATTAGATCTAGCTCATTCATCAGAAAAGGATATATAGAAAGGCAGATGGGCAAAGAGAGAGAATAACAGAATCTGTTCTCAACACAAAAGAACATTCAGACATGCAGAATTAAGACTTCATAAGAAAAACTTTCTGTATAAAAGCCAAAAAAGACACTGCTACAATAAACAGGTTCCAAGATCTCTTGCCTGATTTGCTTTTCTCCAACGCTTTATTCATTTCACGTGATTTGTAATTGGTCCTGTAAAAAACAAGAAAGATAGTATTGAATATGAAACACATTTCATAAATGAAACACACAGAGACAAGTCTATAAGTTATCTTTCCATTTTTTAAAGGAAAAATAGAGTTGGAGGAGACGAAAATAAACTTTTTTAAAGGAAACATTACTTTTAATCCATAATCCATCACATTTATGGAAACATCAAATCCTTGATCACACAGTCTGTTCTGTAGTGACCTTCATTCTTTCAGTTTTCAGACAAAAGAAAAGCATTTCTGCCTACCTTTAATTCTCATGCATTTTTTTGACCAAAGCTCAAGCACAAAATGAACATAACTACCACTTGGCACATTGACACCTTGTTACAATACAAACAAAATTACTTTCATTTATTTGAGAAAACAAGTGCTTAATGAAAGAGTTCAGGAAAGTGTAAAATTTCACACTGATCCCAAAAGTGAAACCTCATCTAAAAATTAATGAAGATATCATTTTTTTAAAACTCAGAAATGTTATAGATACGGTCCTGAAATTTTCAAAACTGTATGATGACCACTTAGAAGTTGTAACAGATAGTCTTCTCCCTTTGAGTTGGCAATTTATTTGATCATTTACCAATACACCCTTCCTACAAAAAATTTTCATGACTGTCAGTTACACTAACCTCAATATGTTTACAATAAACTCACTGCTAATAAAAGAAAAGAGAAATTCCTCCTATCTATTGTCATCTTCACATAAAGTTTCACATAACTTTTCAAAAAGGCTTTTGCCAGCAAACATATTATAAAAATCCTCTTCGATATGCATATATCAACACCATTTCAAATGCTCGAAACATGTCAAAATTCAGTCATATAAACTCATTTGCAGCTGAAAGACTAGGAAATGATGGCCTTTGCTACAAAAACCATTTGCGACTCACTGTAAATGGAATATCATTCTAAGAGGCTTTTAGAGAAATATATGGCACTAATAAAAAGAGAAGTTCATCTTTTTCCACCTGCCCAAGAGTCCTCACCATTTCAAGATGTCCTCGAGAAAGTACTCCTCTACATCATGAAGACTTCCAGGAACTGAGGAAAAAGGATATGACAAGAAGTAGCAAAGCGTTTTACCTGCACCCAAACTGTTAGTTTATTGTAGCAGTTCAGCTTCCATCTACCAGAGGTCAGAAATAATCTGAATTTTTTTAAAAACATCTATGTACCTTAGGCTAATAGCTATATAGACAACTTATGAAATCAGAAAAAAAATATCAAAACATTCCAAAGTTAGCACTATATGATAAGACACTACCTTATCCATCATTGCCTACTTGGAAAAAATTAAAAATCTTTGGAGCATGCATTAAAATCAGTGACAACAAAAAGCTAAACCAACAGTGAAAAGTAAAATCAGGACTATATCATACCACAAATGATTGGGCAGTTGTCAAAATACTCGGAAAAAAGTTCCATATTCAGTGTGGCACTCATCAAAATGAGACGAAGATTTGGGTGCTTTTCAAGAACCTCTCTCAGACATAGGAGCAGAAAATCCACAAACTTGTCTCTCTCATGAACTTCATCCTGTAAGTAAAAAATTAAGCCATTTAACCATTGTTCTCACACACCAAAATATCAAAATTGACCCTCCAACTTTTAAACTTATTATAAATTCTACTTTCCGAAGAAAACTATTATATCATCAGTATCAAAACAACTCAATATTAAAGCATAAAAAGAATGCAAAACAAATCATTTTCTATGATAAATTAATAAAATAACTCTGCCACCAACTGATGACGGATTGTACGCATTCATCTTCTGTAGTAGCAAGCAGACAGGATAACTCTGCCGTTTGCTAACAAAACGTCTTTTTAAATTTTGATGCCAACTTTTTTTATTCGCTAAATCAAAAGCCCGATCAGTTACCTTACTTGGGTGAAAAAAATCAATGTGAAACTGTGACTAGTTTTTAAATAGATAAGAATTCAAATTTCAGAATCACTCTATTTTTAAATACCGTCGAACCTGCCTTAACGGAAACCTGTCTTAACAGAACCTCCTCGCTCCCCCCTTGATACATTCCTCTTTAATTACCTGTATAAAACGGAAACCTGTCCAATGCAGAAACGGAAAGAAAAATCCGCTCCCTTCCGAGGGTTTCGAGGGTTTCACCTGTCTAAGACGGAAAATGCTTTGCCCGCTCAGCCCTGATTTGACTAGCAAGTTTGGTTCCGTCGGCTGTAAACTTAACGCTATGGCCATGCCGCTGGGCAAGGAAGGGGAGTAGGGGTGCAATTTGGAGGTAAATGTTACCCCATCATGTGAGCCCAGAGCAATGCAGATGGTCAGTGCAGAGATGGTGTGAAATCTCACGACTGCCCATGAGAGTGCTTGAGTAGCGAGCCACTACGAAAACTTTCCTGGGTAGCCAAAAGCCAGAGGTGTGAAACTAGATTGACCAATGCCCGCTGCCCTGATCGTACGGCCAGCGGAGAAAAGAGTTCCTCAAATCGTTGTTACAATGATAGCAGTGAGGGGTGGCATTGGTGGGTGGGACTAAGGGTGGAAGCAAAGAAGATTGCCGTTCCCTGACTGATCTCTCTTTAATTTTTCATCACCATTAGACTTTAACCCGAATTATGGGTGTGTCGAAGACATTTGTCAATACCCAAAGTATTTGAATTATTCGTGCCTGACTAACATGATTTTGAATCTAATTCCATAAGAATGCCAACAGTCATGAGCAAAAGTATACATTCTTTAGATAAGCAAAAAGTGGTGCATCAAATGAGAGAGCATACAACCAAAGATCAGATGGATACAGAGGAAGAGAACCAGTGTCTGTGGTGTAGCAGTTAAGAGCTTTGCTGTCGCATGCAGGAGACCTAGTGTTGATTCCCAAGTGGGGAGAAAGTTGTTATCTAGTATCTCTGTGATGTCGTATCTCTCTCAGCCCAGGTTGGCCCTAACAGACAGGAAGGGGTGTAAAATCCCCTACATTTAAAAAAGCACAAAGATGCAGGGCAAGAAAGGCAGAATAATAACAATAATAAATCTCAGAAGACCAACATCTCAGAGGAGATGTTTTCATCTGCTGGAGCAGTAGGAGAAACATTCATCAAAACCAGTATACAGCCTACAACCATACATAACAATCAAGAGAAAGATGTTTGCTTCTCCCCTGGACACCATAAGTATAAAAGGTAACAGAGGCTGCAAAAGGTAGGCAAAGCACATAATAAGTTAACTCCCTATGATACCATGCCATATTACCAATTACCAGACAAGCAATATTTTCAGTCAACAACAAGATACCATTTTTTTCATTTCACAGCTGAAGTTTAAAGTAACATGGGCTTCTGAGCCACTGAACTTGGCAAGAGCAACAATAATATCCTTCTTCTGAGGAGCTCAATACTAATTATTTCATCTTGCCTTGTTGCCAGGTGAATTCATCATCAATATTTTTCAATTTCTTTTTAATTCTGCACCCAATGACTACTGCGTAATGTACACAGAGTCTGGGTAAACGCCTTTTGACGTGACACCCCCCCCCTCCCACCAAATCGATCAAGATTTTCTAGTACTTGACCTGCGCTTTCTTCCATCAACCTTTTCCTTCTTGGATTGATACGAATTCACTCTTTTTATCTCATTGGAGGAGGACCAAAGCCCACCACATTTTTCAATATATTCTTTGAAAGTTTCATTTTAGTTTCAAATTTTCTATATTCAGTATTCAAATATAAAAAAGTATCTTTGGCCATAAATGATAATGTTGATCACTCTTGTACTACCAGAACTAGTCGTATTATTGACGGCAGTTGTTTGTTTACATCATTTACAATAAAAATCGGGACATACTTGCCCCTGACTTCTGGCTCTGCGGGTGAATGTTTTTTTAACCTTATGAAATGAACTGGAGTAGTGTAGAAAAGTTTGATTTTCTCCTACAAAACTTTAGTCAAGACATTTCTAGACAGCTAAATGATATCAATATAACTTGCCCCGGGAGCGTTTTTCATTGTTGATTTTTTTTTAATTTGGAAGAATATATATTTATTTTACCATAACTTTTTACAGAAGCGTCGTACAAACTCTGTATGGGTTGTAAACTCTTCAGCGTCCAATTGTACTAAAAAATCATGTGATATCTACAGCCACCTACAACGATTAGCGATGGAAAATTCCACTCGAATAAACCGTCCAAAACGTGCTACGCTCTAAATTTGTCAAAAATTGCGTGCTTCACGTTGTGGCAGAACGTGTAACAACCCTTGCAGTTTAACTAAAAATTCTATAATGTTACGCATTTCTCTCCCCAATGAAACTAACATGGAAACAAAGATGACACATAGACCTCTCGTTTCAGGATGGGTTTATGATGCTAGGCCAAGAACTAATAAAGTTATGATTTTTGCAGAAATCGCCACTGGCCGGGCGAGCGTGACACCCCCCTAATACAAGGCCAGCATGTTGTTGTTGTTGTTGTTTTCAAATCCCTTTAGCTGCGAGCATTTCGCTCTTGGCAGCGCAATACTTCCCTCAAGTAACCACATGTCCTTGTCATCAGGTCAGCGCCAGACGCAAGGCCAGCATAAACATTACAAAATTATTGCATTATTTTTTTAAAAAAAATAATTGGAATCCAGTAAGCACTCAGTCTAGCAATATAAGTGTTTTTGCCTCCTATACTTTTCACATGACAAAGCAGCTTGTTGCTCAAAGAGAAGGTAATACTTTTAGTAAAATCTTTTCAAACTTACCCTCTAGACTTCATAACGGGAATGACTCAAGCAATGCTTTTATAGAATCAGAAATAACATTTCTATTCATAAGTCTAACAAAAAGAGCAAAAATTTGCCACTACACTCACCACAACGACATGAGTAACAGTGCCCAGGTTCGACTCAGTGCCAACCAAATTCCTCAGCACTACTCCAGCAGTGCAAAACGTGAGGACCGTCTTTGAAGAAACCCTATCAAAAATGAATTAAAAAACAGCCGCTTTTATAAGAATAAAATATAAGCTAAACATAGATAAAACAAATTAATTTTTTAAATAATTCAAAGCATAATACACCCAGTTTTCTTTAATTACTGCTTCTAATGTATACAAAAAGCAATTTCATTTCAACTTTTTCATCTTTTGTTTAGCATCAAAGACTGAGAAACACTCACCATACCAATAACAAGGCCTCGGCTTTTCTCTTACTTCTTTATGGATAAAGAATACATTAATAATTTATGTGTTCAATGGAAAAATTTTCTTTAAAATATCCAATGCTTCCCTGCTTTCCTACCCTAACCAAAGTAAGCACAAAAGAGGAAGGTTTGCTTTTTGAGGCTTGCAATGTGCTATCATGCTCACTTGCTCTCCAATCTGATCTGGTAGCCTACTGTTCCACCAATCTTCTCCCCTCTCTCGGCAGCCACACGTTCTGCAATGGTCACAGCTGCAATCCTCCTCGGCTGAGTGCAGAGTATACGACATGGTCGCTTCTTCTCATGACAATCATCAAGGATCAGTTGAGGGACCTAAATACAAATGGGCAAAAACAATTGTAACATCACAAACATAACATGAACCTGACCATGCTTTTGCAAACCTCACAAGATTTCTAAAAGCAACACACATCTAGATAGGCTGATAGTAAGTTTTAGGAGAAAGAAAATAATACTGGTCCACAAAAAAAAAAGAGAGAAACTATGAGTTTTCTATGCTGAACACTAAGTTTACATAATAAATGTTATATAACATTGTCATGGAACAAAACCCCTCTGCACAAAGAAGTGAATATTAAAAGATACCCCACAGAAATGTTTCATTGGATTCTTTTCTGACTATGATAAAATATCTTGATGGCCTGTCTAAAAAAGCATTACAATATAAAGATTACAGAGAAATACAATTATTCTTAACCCCTTCGTTGACAAGGGGTAAGTGTTCCTACTATCAGTACTAATTTTCAGCTAAGCTCATTAGCCAGGACAGCAGTCTCATGTCTCAGTGTTATTGGACTCACGGTCAAGATTTAGCCCACTCTTGACATATTCCGGAATCCGGAATTTCGATCACGTCACTTTTCTCATTTTCCTCATTCCCTAAATCCCCCATCTTATAATTTCCAAACACTTTCAAATCGAAGTCAAAAAGTGGAATTTTCCGGCTTTTCAAAGTTATTTTGGTGTTAAAGTTTTGCGGGAGCACATGGTTGTCCGCAAAACTAGATCCACGTTTATCGATTGCCTTCAAGCCTACCAGTAAACTAATACTAGCAAATTTGGTGCCAATATGTGCATTTTTTATTCCCTTATACGAATTCATGCTGTGTTTGTGGCTAAAACTTCTGAGCCAGGTGATTAGTATGATGTACATGTAATGTCATATAGGCAAACAAGAGCAGCAAATTTTGCGAACTCCCGTGATGTCCATGGTACGGCACAATTTTTAACGCAATTTTATTACATATCAGGTACATCATAAGGCAACAAAGGAGTTAACTACATGGTAACCACAACAAGTAATCAAACCTGGGTGGTCTTTCCAGATCCAGTTTCACCTGCTATCAAACACACTTTGTTTGAATTTATAGTTTCTATGATATTTGGTCCCATCTTGAATACAGGAAGTGACTGTCTGAATTTGTTGAGGTCTGATGCTGATCGCTTGGGTGGAACCTGGGCAGGGGAGCCGACCAACCTTCCTTGAGACGACTTGTCTTTAGAACCTGAGCATGTGATGAGAAATAAGAGGAAAATTTTAAAACCATAAAGACAAAGTTTGCAACCATTTGTAAATATCTTCAAAAGGTGATGAACACAAAAAAAGGAAAAAGAAAATTTGAAAACTTGAAACTACTTTTAGCAAGCTCAATTTGGCTGATATTCTGAAAGATAAAATGTTGACTTTGAATGTGCATTTTACCACAAACTCTCTTCAAGATACAGTAACCCTGAAATCTTTATGATCGTGCCCAAATGAAAATACAGTCGAAATCGTCCAACACCACCACCCATTATCAAGGAGAAAACTAGTCTTAGACAAGTGGACAACTTGGACAGTGTCAATATAACGTAGAAAAAACGCTTTGGAGTGAAAGTAAGAAGTGGTCATTTGCACAGGTGATTGTCTTTGACAGGTGACTGTTAGGGCAGGTTCGACTGCACCTCCGTCTGATGGGGTCATGAGGTACACTTTCAGCAAATAACCTATTGTGACTACATTTCCACCTTACCGTCATGTGTACTTGCTCTTTTTTTGACTACAGGAGTGAGGTCATCTCTTTCCCGGTCATTGACAGGAAATCGTTGGAGCAGTTGAGTCACATAGCCAAGTTCATTCCTTGAAAAGCTGAGCAAATCGGGAGTCCATTTGCCTTTAGCTTTATTGTGCTTGGTAACGGTAATGTACCGGTTTTGGCCATTCCTGCAAATAATTTAATTATAGACTTCAATTAGATTACTTTAACTGGAGACTCTCATTATTGAAAGAACGTAACCAATATTAGTCAAACTTTGAAGATACTGATTTATCCAGATGAATGTCTCTAAGGGACAAACTGTACAAGATTCTGTGATTCTTCAATGTCTCTATACCTTGTGGACTTTTGTGCATTTCAGGCTAGAATATGTGAGAGGAGTGAATCTTTCACCAATACAAGTATAACACCTAATGCCTCCATGAAAACAAGGTCAGTAGTATGTAAATATGGTTCTATCTAAAAAAACAAACAACATTCAGCATTAATAGCTGAAGGGCACAAGGAAAAAAGCAAGGGATATAACTTTTATGCATATTGAGAAACATCAATGAAATGCTTGACAACCCACATTTATCCATGGCATAGCTTATTTTCCAAATCTGATATTGGGCGACTTACCAGGTTTTAGCCCTGGACACTTAGATGGGACAGCAGAGGTGCGTAAACACTTTCTAACTCATGTCACAACTCAAATTAACCAAAAACTGACATCTCTTGTTTTTCCCTTGAAAACAGATACACAATATTGAAAAGACCAGAACAGAAGTCAAACAATTGGGAACTATTTAATTTAGTTTACAAAATACAACTTATTTGGCAACGACATCATAAAAGATATTTACCCTCTACTTCGGGTCTTGAGACCCCCTAATTTTTCACAATATCGATGGACATAAGCTCTCTCAGTTGTCGACAAAGATGTAGGGAAAGCCAGTTCTGATGAGTAAAAACAAAAAGAAACCACCATTAAAGCCACTGGGAAATTGGCATTTATTCAATTACTTCATTATGTGCATAACAAGAAATACACAAGGGAGATGAACAGTGATGGGGAGGAGCATGTAGGAAACAGGAGAGTGTGAGATAAAGACTGCTGTTCAATAAGAATCTGATAGATTTTTCTTTTAAAGAGGAGAACTGAAACTGAAAAGGAAGGGGGGAGGGGGGGGGCCACAAGATGAGTAAGAACAAGCAAATTATCCATTCTTAATCAGCTCATATCTTAGATCTGAAATTGCATATTGTCAATTTCAGTCAGATAAAGAAAAAATCATTTTTAAAAAGGTGATATTATGGCCACACATTTGCGTAGTTCCCAAACTGCTGCACTTTTACTGCAATGGATTATAATTAGAATACAAGATTTCTGTTGAAAAAGCTGAAATCATAAATGTATTTCCGTAGATTTGTGGAAAATTGTGAGAAATAGATCTATTGTTTACTTATACCACTGTGGAGTGATGGTGTTTGTGTGAGTTTTGTAAAATATTAACAGTGAAACAAAACATTCTAGCTGGAAAAGTATGGGAGACAAAACGGGAAATGAAGACTATGATGAGAAAATGAAAAGGATCAAGATAAAAGCTAAGCATGTCTTCATGTATTGTTTGGGCAGGCACAAAAACAGATAACATGAGAGCATTCCAAGCAGAAGGTAGGGTAGCAATGCTTAGCGAGACAAACAGTATTTGATATCTTAGGCAAATACAATATAGCATCAGAAAAAAAAGCATCTTGTATAATAAACTAGCCTGTAAATCATCTTACTTTACAAAGAGAAAATAATACAGAACTACAAACTTAACTAATCTCTATGATATTGTAGATATATGCCATTTCTTCATTCCTTGTATAAATACCACAAAGAGCTTGTAGGTGTGTCTAATATTCATCAAACAATATTTCTCTTAACCAGGGAAAATATATTTTTAGCATCACCATTACCTTCTTTGGTAGCATCGAGTCTGAATCGCTCCACAGCCAGATGGATGCCAATTTTAACATCCTCGCCAATGCACACATCTTCAGTCAGAGCAGGCCCTCGTTCAGATCTACTTTTATCTTTACGTGGCATCATGCCTCGTACAAATGCAGCCACAGTTTACATGCTGAAGAAAAAAAGACACATAAAAATATGTATAAATAGAGGTCTTTTTTAACAATGAGAAAGAGTCTGCCAGCAAATATCCCTGCATAAGTTTGTCAGACAGGGATATGCAAACTCCAAGGCAATATATGCCTTCATTGCTCTGAGAACTTTTCTTAGCAAAAGGTCAATGAGTTAGAAATGGAAATAAAAGACAAATGGCAACACTGTTCAACACATGTACTGAACATGAATTTTTTAAAGAGTTCCCTATTCACTAATACAGATAATTTTCAGGCAGTATAATCAGCTTTTACTTGAACAATATTGCTTCTTTTTTTTTTTAGTAAGCTAAAAGCTTTTATTTTAAGTTTACAAAATCCCTTTTGAGAGTTGCTATACTGAAAATAAATGTCTAATTTTTGAAAGAATTAAAAATAAAAATGGCTCCTTATTACATATTGGGCAAAAACGGCGGCATAACAATGAAAATATGCTAGAGTAGGGTGATTTTCTTTCTGTTGGTATCTGCTTATGATACTATTAATTATAACTACTGGGAGAAAAGATACAGAGGAACTCGGATTCAATGAAGTCGTTTGGCTTGACCTTCAATTAAGTTGAATCCCAGCGTTCGTTATAGCAACATGAGGTTTTTGTGTAGAAATTACAGGTACAGAGCAAGTAAGGTATATAAATATATAATGCAATCGACTTTCTCAGTTAAAAGTAGTCTGGTTTTATATGAGAGGCATTTTCATTATTTTGCTGCCTTACCGAAGAAATGCTGGAAAATTGCAGGAAAATACAACTGACCTCTACCAAGCACACATTGTGCAAAAGGGCCGATGCGTTCAAATGCACGCCTGTGTCATCTATTATCAAGAACATACACTGTTTACCGAACATGTTACGCTGCTGTGTAGAGCCTAGTATAGCAGCGTTTGATTCCACAGTCCAGCACGCAATTCATTATGCAGATCTGTGTCAAGACCAGCTTATCATTGTAAATATTGATCAGTGGCCGAGTTTTTAAAAAATATCGTTGACTGGTTTGTATCTGTACTGACTTTCCATGCCCAGCCTGCTTGGGGCCCCTCCCATCAGACACACGCACACACAGCCACATTGTACGTGTGCTGGCCGCCCGTCCGACCCTGTTGCATGCAAAGAAATGTGTGCGTGTTTACAACTCATGTTTTTGTGTGAAAGAAGGACGCTGTTTGGTCGCAAAATATATACACAATAGGCAAAGAGAATAATGGTTCACGATGCAGGTGCTATGAAAGGTTTCCAAGAATAGATAAGGTTCATTGCAGGAGAAAAATTAGCCAAGCCACGTCAGTGGGGGCTGTACACCCTGCAAGCAACTTAATTGGGCCCGAACTTGCCTATTTATGTGTTCCTTGAATCCGAGTTATTTTTGTTGATATCTATGAATTAAAAACAACAGGGAATCTAACACCTTTGATGACTCCAAGTTTTCCTTGAATCTGACTTCGTAGAATCTGAGTCTCGCAGTATAGAGATAAAAATAAAAGGCAGCTTTGAATGGAGTGGGTTCCTGTAAAACAAAATTTAGGCCAAGGCACCCGAGTACCCAAAGGGCTCTCTCTACTCTTACTCTTCAAGTACAATACGGTACCATACTGGGCATGATGGTTGGTACAATATGAGGTACATTGCGTAGAATTTCTCTCCATCATTGTTTTGTGGCAAACCTAGATCTATATTTATACCTCTCATTAATCAAGATTCAACACTTTATATTAGACCTAGTTATTACAGTCAACTACGGATGAATGAGTCATTAAGATTCTAAAACATGAATGTTATGTAGCGAAAAATTCATTTTTTAAGGGTATTGTTTTAGATACTATCATAGCTTTCATTTAAAGGGTAAAATACTAACTGGGACTCAGGATTTTAGATATTGAACACTACAGCCAAGATTACATTTTAAGCCAAGAACATTATATATACCGAGCTTTTACAATATTAGGATTATTAGGCCTACGCATCGTCATGTGGTGCACCGTGCCATTTGGCCATGAGGGGAGGAGAAGTAGACACGGTCAGAGTTGTCATGTATACACACCCACTCACCTTACGATTTCATTAACTCACTGGAGACAGATGAAAATTTCGGGGCACAACCTCTCAAGACTGGCATTTCGGGGCATATTTTGATTTAACTGATTCCGTCCATTCGGCCGCTGACAGCGGCTCTGAGTTTTTCCGCTGCATCCATTCGGCCGCTGTGAGCGGCTCAACGAAATTCGAAACAAAGGTGCACTATTTAATATTGTTCCTACTTTTTAAGTTGTTGAAAGGAAGAAGAACTTGTAAACAAACCTGACCTCAATCTCTGAGCGCCAATATCGATCGAAACTCTGCGAAATTCTTGCAAAAATCGTTGTTTTGTTGTTGCGATGTAGGCTAGATCTAAGGGTAAACAACACGGAGCCTGGTATAATAAAAAGGCTCTTCAAAGAAAGATATTCAACTAAATTTGTTAAATTCTTGCATAAATGTGTGCTAGGGTGATATCGCTACAATGTTGTGTTGATTCCTATGGATTATAAGGACTTGTAGAGCTGAGAAAATGCGGTAAGTCGAAATTTTCGAAGAGCTGTTGCGCAATTTTTTTTTCTCATTCATTTTTGTCAGAAGGAAAATGCAATACAAACAGATTATAGGTCTTTGTTATTGATAGAAACAGATTCTTCTATTTATTCCCATCAGTTTGGTATATATATGACAATACATATTAGAGTAACTTAGAGCTTCACAGTGATGCATTAAATAGATGCACCCCAGGTCTAAAACTGAACAGGGAAGAATAATTCTGTCTAGAGCCTGAAAAAATCATGGACGGAATCAGTTAATAAGCTGTATCTCAAAAACTAATAAAGCTATTACTTTCTCCTTTGGATATGTTTTTATTGAAATGACCAGGTTTCCAACAAAAATAAAAATGAAGTCATTATCTTTATTAGTTTTTGAAATATGCATTGATCTATAGGGCGCTTTTTCAGTAGTTCCCACCCCGCAATTGTTATTCGCGGGTTTTGGCCCCAAGAGTAGGGGGGTTTCAGGGAGGCCCCCCTGACCTCTAAAAATAAAGTGGGGGATATCAGGATCAGAGGGGCATGCCCCCCTGATTTTAACATAATTTGATGTTTTGCAGTTGTTAGGTTTGATATCTTAGCTCATTGCGCATCAAACGTATAGACCTAGATCAAGATTTAGATGTAGGCTAGATCTGGGCTCAAATAAGGGGGGTGGGAACTACCGAAAAAGCACCATCTATAGATCTAGATCTAGATCTAGATCTAGATCTATGTAAATTTCGATAAAATTTTGTCTTGCGCATAAATTTTGGAGAGAGTGGTCGCTCGTTACGGAAGTCCTCCCCCCGAATTAAACACGAGAAAGTAAACAATTACCGTGCCGTGGAGAAAACTGTACTAAAGTTAGCCGATAGATCTAGAAATCTAGTTGTTGCTAGGACAGCCAGTTTTAGTTCTAGATCTAGATCTAATTGTCTAATTTTAGTTTTAGCAAGTGGCTATTCTCCGGCGTCTCGCCGGTCAATAGATCTAGACTAGATTCTAGATCTAGATATATATCTAGATCTAGACATCTTGAATCTATAGTAGGTTAGGGTCCATCCCCCGGCGCTTTTTCGGTAGTTCCCACCCCGCAATTGTTATTCACCGGTTTTGGCCACAGGAGTAGGGGGGTTTCAGGGGGGTTTGCCCCCCTTATGATCTAGATCTAATAAAAATAGGAAGGGGGGTTTCAGGGGGGCATGCCCCCCTGAATTTTACCATAATTTAATGTTTTGCAGTTGTTAGGTTAGATATCTTAGCTCACCGCGAATCAAACGTATAGATCTAGATTTAGATGTAGGTCAGGCTCAAATAAGGGGGGTGGGAACTACCGAAAAAGCACCCATCCCCCGACCTTTTACTTTTAGTTTACTTGTTGACTTACAAATCACTGCAAAGGTTGATCAACATCGATAATCTGACTCTGTTGTACTAGAAAGAATAGCGATGATTCAAAAACAGGAACATGTAATATAATAATTACATGTACTAGATCTAGATCTAGATTAAATCTTCTAGATCTATTCTTCACTGAGTGTTTACAGGCTTAGATTCTACACTTTCTTTTCTCGGAACTCAGAATTCCGAGATTGAGCCGTCGTTTGATGGACAGAATGACTTCCCTTGCGTAGATAAAGGAATCGGAACTTAAAACATGACCGACCGCAAGCCGGAACTAGGAAACAAAATTAGATTTAGTGCACATCAATCAGCCTTCTTACCAACAACAATCGACTCAATAGACATTCACTTCTGGCTCTGACTGACTGTAGTGTGGGGCCTATCAAATTCCTGCATTCATTCACAGAAACTGTTTTACAGTAGGCCCTAGGGTTGGATCTTCTTTTCATCGTATGTACCCACCGTGCCCCATAAAGCTTGCAATTTTTGTTGTCGCGCATTTCAGATTTCAAGAGAAAGAACAGACACAGTAAAAAAGAACAGAACAGTCAGTAACAGTTTCCTTCAGTTAACGACAGTACAGCCAGCAAAATCAAAGTAATAGAATATTCAGTCACACATTTTATAAATTTTAGATCTAGATCTAGATCTAGATCTAGTGTAGTATAGGCTAAGGCTAACAGTAAAAGTTCATTTTAGGTTAGGCCTAGGTGAGTACGCCAGAGTACTAAAACTAAGAGTCAAGACTTGCTACGTAATAAAATGGCCACCTCTATTCTCACCCGGGGTGAGAATAGTGCAGGCGAGTCTTTTGGCTATTCTCACCCGGTGCGCGTTCACCGTTAAAGCCTAGATCTAGGCCAACAAATTTTGCGTTCACCCTAAACCACAGAATTCTACACTGTGATAACAGAAAAATTGTAAAATTCTGTGCCGTGAACAAACGTTCCATTACAACTGTAATTACTGTAGCCTACTAAAAGCGTACAATTTTGTCTGTGGGCAGTGGAGAGAGAAAGAGGAGAGAGGAGTTGCGCGAGAACTTCCGGTCAAAACAAAATGGCGACCCGCGTAGTTCGGCTCGATTCGAAAAGTTAAATAGCCGTAGCATCTTTGTAGACAACCAAATTAATTTACTTTTGTGTTTTAAAAATCATTTTTTAACTTTGTTTTGGTCAATTTGATCGTCCACACCGATAGATAGTATTCAGAAAGAGACAGAGAGAGAGAGAGGGGGGAGGAGTAGATCTTGCGAGAACTTCCGGGCAAAACAAAATGGCGACCCGCGTAGTTCGGCTCGATTCGAACAGTGAAATAGCCATAGCATCTTTGAAGACGATCAAGTTAGCTTACTTTTGTGCTATAATGTAATTTTTTCTTGGCTTTTATCAATTTGATCATACACATCGATAGAAAGTATTCCGAAATGAGGAAAAACACTTAAACAGGTCTTGTTTCAAACCGGGTGAGAATAGCCTACGGTCGCAAGTCTCACCCGGGGTGAGAGGTAGATCGTTTTTCTATTCTCACCCCGGATGAGAATAGCCACTTCCCTACGTAATACAACAACACACATAGATTCTAGATCTAGATCTAGGCCTATGCGATTAAAAGTAGAACAACGCAAACTATTTGGTGCTTTTTCGGTAGTTCCCACCCCCCTTATTTGAGCCTGATCTAGATCTAGATCTATACGTTTGATTTGCGGCAAGCTAAGATATCAAACCTAACAACTGCAAAACATTAACTATACCCTACCTTATTTATATTAGGTCAGGGGGGCTGATACAGCCCACGCAGTCGGCAATGAAACCTAGTGACGTAGCCCATTACGCCAACTGGCGAGGGAAGCCCTGGAAGACGACAAAAATAGATGGCGGTAATACGTCATCTATATAATATATGGGCCAATCACAGAGGTGTGCTCGGTGCTCGCTACAGCTTCATGTGTTTGGCGCATCCCGTGATCTCTTCCCTTTCTATCTCTATGAATTTGTTTTTCGCAACAGGTTTTGTGACGAGGACAACTTTCTTGTCATGCTAAGGACAATTATCCCTTATAAATGTGCTACAAATGCAACCTGTAATTAACGTGTTATTGTTGTTTGGGTCTAATAATGTGCTACGAAAATGCAAGTAATAACGTGTTATTTTTTTGTTGTACACTGAGTCTAATAATTTACGTACACCTAATTGTTGCACTTTTACCCTAAGTGCTTTGTTAAAAATGCTTGGACTGCTTAAGGTTTATTTATTATCATACAGTATCATCATAGTCATAGTCTGATTGACAGTCTCCGGTATAATATAATGAAGTATCAACACTTGTCTAGTCACTTGGGTTAGGACAGTTAGAGTTAAAGGTAGGCTTATGGGTAGGGGTAGGATTGCAGTTTTGTAGGATGTAGGATAGTATAGGTAAGTAGGGTAGTAAAGTAATCATTGGGGCCAAAACTGGATTATTCCATCTGATAGCATCCTAGGTCTGAAGGCTCTCTTGACTAGATTAAATAAAAATTATACAACTCCCCTGCCTGTTTTTCACTAATTACCTTTTCGCCTTCGTTCCTGTGGGGTTATCTAGTTCCACAGTTGTGAGGGGCACACCATTATCATCATAATATATTATCATTTTCCATCTTCTCTTTACTTGATCATCATTGCCAAGTTAGTCAAAACTGAGAAACCCATCCAGCTAACTTTTATTGAACTAGGAAAATTGGGTAAAGCGCTTTTCCTGTAAAAGAAGGCCTCTGATTAGTCACATAAAATAATAATAGGATGACTCTTGTGTGTATCTATGTAATCCCAGTACTAGTACTGCATTGCTGCAAAAAAGTTGACCAACTGGAGTTGTGGGCAATGGAAATAAGAGAATTCTACCACACCAACACGCCACAACTGTTTAGTCATGCTTCTCTTTTCATTGTTGGCAAAACTGTTTTGTCATGGTGCAGTACTAGCCTGAGGGTCAATTCCACAGTAATGTACAGTGTTTGATGTTCAAATTATAGACAATTAATGTTCTTTATTTTTCATGATGCTAAAGGATCACTTTTCTCATGGATTAAAGTAAATAAGGTTCATAGCGGGAGAAAACTGTGAAGCCAAATTAGCGGGGGTTGTTTGCTCTGCAAGTGAGTTCAGTTTGCTTAAAAACTTAACTCTTCAGTGAAGACGAAATATTTTATATTTTTATTGATTTTGATTAATTGAAAGAAAAATCAGGGAATCCTTCTCCTTTTGTTGCGTCGTTAAGCTGTTTATGATAATATTTTGGCTCAACAAGTCATACAGTAAATATTTCCATGGCGAAAAAAACCCAAACTTGTGTATGTTAAAATGTCATCTGTAGCTTTCCATTAGTCTTCAAGTACAGTAGAACATGACTATAGCGGCACCCGCTATAGCGGGACCTTACCAGAATCCCCATTTTTGTTCCTATGTAAACTCAATTACTTATGCTTGGATATAGCAGGGCAAGGAAAGTCCCGAACTCAGATACAGCGGAAGAGATCAAGCGAGCTCTAGCAGGGGAGTGGGGGGCTGTGGGTGGGTTCCAATGAGGCAGTCAGCGGTGCGCGTTGTGATTGGCTCGTCAAGTGATTAGTGAGGTGGGGCAGACGGTAGGCTTGGAAAGAGATTGAGAGACGCGTTACATGATCCGCTCCAAAAGTGATGTAAATCTATATTGTAAAACATGAGTATTGCGCTCACCAGAACCCCCTTTTTATCTATTGAAACTCAATTACCTGTGTTCGGGTTTAACAGGGCAAGGAAAGGCCCGATCTTGGATACAGCAGGAGAGATGGAGCGAGCTCTAGCTGCAGGGAAGCGGGGTGGGGGGCTGAAGGCAGGATCCAAACAGGCAGTCAGCGGTGCAACGTTGTGATTGGCCAGTCCAGTGATGAGTGAGGTGGGGCAAGCGGCAGAGAGAGATGGTGCGGAGAGATGCGTTACGTGAGCCACTCCAAAATTTAAAATGATGCGCCGTAGCCTAGACATTCAGTACCGTATAAGAGCGTATAGGCCATAGTCCAAGGCTAGCCCAAAAAGTAAAAAAAGAGGAGAGAGTGCAGTGTGTGATTCCTGATTCATTGAATTGCGATCGTTGATGCTCATGCATACGCACGCATCGACTTCACTAGTTCTACTGTAGGCCTACCGGTACCGGGTGCGATAACGATAGACAGCTCAAGCAACAAACGGAGGAAAAGATAGCTTCCAACAAAGACTGAAGGAAATGCTTCTCACTCAACTTAAAGGTCGAGATAATCAACGAAATTGACAAGAAAATGAAAACGAATATAAAGCGCTAATTTTATTGATATGGAAGGGATTTAATCGTGTGGATTTTTAGAAATTTTTCAGTAATTTCCCGTTTGTATTCCAAGAGCTGGAACTCGCCTACAGCGGAATTTTTCTCCAGGAACCAAAAGTCCTGCTATATCCGTGTTCTACTGTATTATTGTCATTTCACTTTTTAATGCTATTTTCTTATTTGTTGTGTTTCAGTTCCCTCTCCCTGTGAAGTTTCTTATGCTGGGATTCTTCTTTAAGCATTGTGTGTTTCTTCAAATTTCAAGCCACCTTCACAAAGCAAATTATTATGAGAATTCCACACATGGATGACAAAAAGTCGTCCTCTAGTCAGGTATGGAGATAGAAAATATAGACAAACCATATTATGCGGCCACCCTTGGGATGAGCATGATGTTGGTAGTTCCTTTGTTAAATAGCCCCAACAGCCCAACATCAAGGGAAATGATTCTGCTGTATGAACCGTTTGGGAAAAGTGGCTTTTGTTGGTGATGTATGTGTTGATGTATTTAGAGCTAAGAGTCTTCTCCCCCTCCCTCCACCCCCTTCCTGCCTACCACCCCTCCTTCTCTTTCTCTCAGCCTTGGGTGACATTGGCTGGTAACACCAGATATTTTGCCAGCGGACCAAGGTAGGCATGAGATAGAGATTATCAAGCAGTCAACCAGTGGGTGTCGTGCACCTTGTGTGGTGTGTACTTCTGGCAGGCAGTTTGCTGGGGCAAATTTACCTTAGATTAATAATAAGGACTGTACAAGCCAGACCGTTGGTGGATGGTGGTATGAAGAAGCAAAGGGGGCTCTCGTGGCCCAGAGGTTAAGGTGTTGACCTCTCATTCAAAGGTCCCGGGTTAGAATCTGGGGAGCGACCGAAAAATTTTCTTCTCTAAAATTGTCTCCTTTGATTCACCTCCTTTCCTGCTTTCTAGCAATGTTCTGTCATCTGTTTTCATATCCTCTTTCTCAGTCTGCCCCCTCCCCCTCACCTCCTTTGCCCCCTCTTCTGGGCTCCTGACTCTTTCTGCAGCCTTACTAACTGCTACTCCTTGGCTCCTTCTTACTGCTGTCATTCAGCCACACCCCTGATCTTCTGGTAGGAAAGATCTACACCGAGCCTTCTCGGAGAAGGGCAAAAAATATCGGAGGGCCCGTGTGCAAGTTCGCACGTTAAAGATCCCTTGGTGGTCTAAAATCGATAAGAGTAGGCTTCGTCCGCCGCCTGGGCAAAATTCAAAATTTCCTAGCAACTGAAAAAGTATAATGTGTCCCACGTGCTCATATGAACTTATGCACCGTAAAACGCTTACAAAAAAAACACAAAAAAAGAAGAAGAAGCCAATACTATGTTTATATATAGGCTTTCCTTTTCATACAATGTTGAAACCTGGCGGTTTAATGAAGTTTAATGTACTGGTTGAACTCACTTAAACTACTAAACAAGAGTTTGAATTTTTTATGTGTTTGATTTTACATAAAAATAATCCTTTTAAATCACTCACATTTTTCTTCTCACATCCTGTTTTCTTGATAATCCCAAGAGCAGTACTCACATGTAACAAGTTGCCATGTACAGTCAAACCTTGTTGTAAACCCCCCCCCCCATTGTAACACCAGCCCCGCTTACTCCCAGGTTTTGCCAAGGCCAATGTACAAAAAGGAACGTCTATATAAACATGCTATTTTCGCCTTCACACCACCATCCACCATCTGTCTGAGTTGTATGGTCCTTACTTAACTAATGCAAATTTACCCCTCTATACTGCCAGCGAACTGACTGGCAGAGATACACACTGCACACAGCGCCCAACACCCACTGATTGGTGACTTGATAATCTTTTTCCCACGAGAAAAATATGAAAATAGAGAGAGAGGGGGGGTTCTGGTCCCTGAATACATGAGCATGTACATCATGTATATTACCAAGAAAAAGACACTTTTCAAACATAGATCACACAGCAGAATCATGTTCTTTGTTGTTGGGAAGTCAGGGCTATACAACAGAGGAACCCTGTGTTAACCATCAGCCCGACTGTTCTGCCAACTTCATGCCTGTTACAAGGGTGGCGGTATAACGAGATTGGACAGTATGTGTATTTGTGTTCCATTCTTTATCTAAAATATAAAACTCTCTGTTGTACAACTTTCCAGCTTATTTAGCTTATTTTCTCCACAATTCATGTTCACATGTTGTTGAGTTTCAGTGGGATAATACAATGGAGCCCGCTTAAACCAAACATGGTTAATCTGGAAACAACGGTAAATCAAGAGAAAAGAAAATGCCAGATTTTTTTTCTTCTTTGTTTTTGTAAAAAAACAAAACAAAAAACAACTATTGATTAGCTGAAATTGTAATGCTCCAATTTCTATATTGAACAGAATTTTAATAGATAAGATTTTTGTATGCACAAATACCCGCTCAAAAGCAGGCTCTATACGCTTCACTCACAATCTATACAATTACTCCAGCAGACAAGATCTTTCACTGTCTATGGCCGGGTACCCCATTTACACCTGGGTGAAGTCAGGAAAAATTGTGTAAAGTGCCTTTGCCAAGGACACAACGTCGGGCCTGCAGCTCGAACCTCCGACCCCGCAACCTCACGATTACCAGTCCGGTAGCCTAACCACTAGGCCACGGAGGTTATGGCGTCTTAATTTTTCACTAGCAGCCTTCAAGTTCAAGTACATTTTGTATTGCAAATCACCAAGTTTTATGTGCTTTAAGATAAACAAACAGAAGAAAGACATGAGAACGCATGTGTGTTGGTTGCAGGTCAGAGAGAAGCATCGCCAGTGTACTGTTTGCCTACATTTATCACAAACATCAATGGGCCTACACACTGCTTATAGGCCTAGTCATGCAAGGATAGTAATTTATATACGTCTGTCAAACGATTTTCATTTTCAGTTGGTCATGTCCTATTGTCTCTGCGAAACTAATTCACATAGGCCTCACACATGATCATGTGATGGCACGTGGTATGTTTCATGACGTCACTGGCATTGGGCTTTCTTTTTCACTTTTCTAGTTCTACTCTTTTGTCTTATCTATGTGACTGTTTAGCAGATTAAGTAAGCTGCGTACTGCCTGCAGCTCAAATCGCAGTTACTGAAAGAGATAGATGAGAAAAAAAAACTTTTAAGGAGTGAAATTTGCTGCAAGTATGGCATTCCCAACTCTATGCTGTCGACAATCATTACTATTCGAGCAACCCTATCTAAACCAAAAACCCAGCTAAACCACAGAAAATCTGATGGTCCCACAGATTTTGGTGTAAGCTGACTTCACTTAATTTACTTTTTACTTTCATACAATTGCTGATTTAATTCCTTAGGTTTATTTATGTTTCCATCCAGTTTTAGCCCCAAGGCTTTTGCATGAGCACTTTCTATTTCAACAGGTCTTTTGGGTTTTTTTTTTTTTTCAGGAATTCAAATTCAAGGATAAGATGGTGCCTGCTTTTGCCGTATTAAATTTTGTCCATTCATGTGTGTTATGTTTTGTTGGGTTTTTTTATTTTTCACAGCAAAAGAACACTCTAGCTGAGCTTCTCCCTGGGCCTTCCCCTCCCCCTGTGTCAACGAGTGCTTCCAATATTGTTGCCCAGAACCCCTTTGACGATGTCCTCCCCTCCAGCAACAGCATGCAGCCCAAGCCCCAGCAGCAGCTTCCTCCTCCTCACTCACAGCCTCAGCCAGGATCTCTTCCACCTGGACCTGGCCCGGGACCCTCTCCTCACGGCAAGATCTATCCACCTAACCAGCCAATGGTGTTCAACCCATCCAATCCAAGCGCCCCTCCTATTTACCCGTGTGGCGTTTGCCACAAAGAAGTTCATGAGAACGACCAGGCTGTTCTGTGTGAGAGTGGATGCAACTTTTGGTTCCACAGAATGTGCGCAGGATTGTCTCATGACGCCTTCTCTATGCTCAAGGCTGAAGTCTATGCTGAGTGGGTGTGTGACCGGTGCCTGAACACTAAAGAAATACCTCTAGTGAAATTGAAGCCATAATGGAGAATGTATGCAAAGAGAAAATCTCACTATGCAATCAAAGACATGTCTAATTCTGTGACCTTGTGCATAAACCTGATATCTCAAGTGTCAATCTTTGACATAGCCACTTAATAAAAACTTTTTGATTTGATGTTATCCTTCAGGAAACAATGGAAGCTTTCGCCTCAAATTTGTTTTGTGGTGAAAGATGTTGACATCAATTTCTTTCTGTTTGAAGGCATTCTAAGTTTTATCTTGTATGGATTATCAGGTTTAAACATTTGGTCACAGAAGTTGCATAAAATAAGGGACTTATCTCTTTTAGTTCTTTTGAAAGACCAGTATAATATGAAAATATGAGTGTTATAAATATATATGTGATACGATTTGAAAGTCACAAAAACATAAAAAAGGAAGGCACATCTTTTAATTTTTTGTTTCTGTTCTTTATACTTAAAGCTAGAGGGATTATAATGTAGCTGCTATTACGGAAAGCGGGGTATTTTTGAGTATGGTGTCTCTTCCTTAGAATATACAGTACAGTGGAATCCGGTTATAACGAGAGGGAGGGGACCGGTGCCAAATGTCTGTTATAGCAGGATTCTCGTTATTCGGGACCCAGTAATAAATTCAAGGGAAGTAGTAAAGTAGGCCTAACTTATGAGTCTTTTCAGTTTATTTCTTTTTGTAATCTCCCCTGATGATGATTTGATCAACATGACCTTAAGTCTTGCCTGATCAAAAGTCAAATCAGGTTTCTATCTCTAGCGCTAGCGATGTTGACAGCTCGGCGTAGGCGATCAGAAAGAAAGTTCTCTAGGCTAACTCGCCCACTGTGTTGTCCCCCACCACACCCTGTGGTGCGTTCCGTCTGCTTGTGCACAATGGGAACATACCACACCCCTCCCACGTCACACATTCGCTCCGTCCATCACAGTACAACACTATGCCCTCTTCATCCCCGCATCGGAGAAGTGAGAGGCATGGTAAGCCTAGATAATCTAGACTTGGTTGGCCTATCACACGATGCGTTCTGCTTGTCTGTGCATGCCACACTCTCCCCACTCATTCTATCCGGCCTTCATTGTTGGCACACGTGGGCTCTCCCTTTCTTTGTTTCGCAAGATAACCAACAAGTTTCTCAACTGACGAGGGTTTACATGAGTACATAGCCTATGTGCTGTGCACAGCAGCAGCAATATTCCGCTATAACCGACTCGCGAGTTTGTCTGCTTGCATTTATAGCAGTATTTTATTTACAAAGATAAAGATGGAAAAAAAACGGGCTTTTAGAAGTGTCTTTATAACAGACTTCTCGTTATTTCAGGACTCGTTATAAGTGGATTCCACTGTATATTCTCACTGAATGTGTATGACAGGGAGCATTATCTTAAAAGTTGAATTTTCATTTAATTTTCTCAGGTGTTTTTCATCTATCATCTTCATATCAATTGTTGTGTTGCCAAGTCATTCATAAATAGCTACGCATTGCTTTCAGGTTTTTGATTCATTGAAATACCTTGTCGATTTATCGGTATCCCTTGCGATCTTCCCTTCTGCCCTCTGCCACTAGGTAGAATGACAATTTATTTGAAATTCATTTTCTATGCCCTGTGCTTAAGCTCTTCCTTGTGTGCCCACATTACATGGTGGAGTGGATAACAGATTTTTTTCCCCTTGTTTGGATGACATTATAGGAGAAAATTCTCCTATGAACAACTTTCAACCATTTTTCTGTCTTTAAGTTGTCTTCCATTGTCAACAATCTCAATGTATCTTGTTCTCCTGTGCATTTTCAACGAGATCCTGCATCTTTTCCATTTTACCTTGAGTCAAGATGGCCTCCTCCCCATTAAAGTTTGAAAAGTATTCTTATGTACTGGAATGAAGGTACTGTTCACTCCATGACTCTGAATTTTAAACCATAGTCACTGTGAAAGAAGAAATATTTGTGTTTATAATATGTCATAATGTATTTTATATGTATTCTGAAACCTACAGCAATTTTGTTAAAAATTCAGGCGTCGTCACTGGTGTTGAATGAGCAAGTAGGCAATTACGTAGATATTATGAATGTGAGAGTAAATTGACAATTCATGAGATGTTATTATGGATTTAAATTCTCCTTGACTGCACTATGAACTTTTTCTGGTTCACTATTAAGCGCACTATTTGAGCCAAATGAAGGGTAAGGGGAGAAGGTACCGCACGCATTCAACAATAGCGAGGCTAGTGTTTTGCCCTTCATTTAGGGGTAATGGCACAGCCCCTGGCGAACACGTTTGGCAGTGAAGATTTTATAGAGAGCAAAGAGTGGCAGCCATGACAGTACATGGTCTGGAGTACAAATCTGTGGATCTTAATAATGTAAGTTGCTAAAAGTTCTAATCTCATTTAAAAATCTGTATCAGAGTCATAAATAAGGAGCAGGACCGTGGTTATTGACTCAGATCTTTGAAATGAGACTGGTCAGTCATACTCCAACCGTTGGATTACTTTATGCATTCACTTGTTGAAGTAGGATATCATTCGGCATGCTGGTATAACTACCCAACTTGTACTTGGTTGTATGTTGAAATTGAAATCTCCATAACATATGAAAACCATTTATGTGAAATGTCCTTAACCATGAACATGATGAAGACCAACACAGCAGTTTTGAAGTTTGGGACTTGGTTATCCGAGTTGGTAACTATTAGATAGACCTACATCTTTTTCCAGTCCATAAAGGAGGCATTTAAGTGTTACAAGTATCCTGGAATAACATACAGCAGTGCAGTGCCATCTTCGACAGAAGCCTTTGCTTTATAACGTGTGTCTTTTAAGTTACCTGTCTCATTTGTAAGAGTTCAAATCAGGAGGTATGAATTCTAAATGACTTGTCCAGAAAAGAAAATCAACATGTTGTGTCATAAACATATCACTTTATTATTCAGCAAAAATTATGTACAACACTCAAATGCACATTGTATTTATATATAGATTATAAGCACTTCTTTTCTGTGCTGCTTTACTCAGTGAACAAAAAGGTAAAAGGTTTAATGTACAGTTTTTCTTTTAGTTGTCATCTTTATACGAACAATTGTTGAGCGTCTTTTGCTTTTAATTTCATAATAAACATATTAATTTTTATAGCATCTTTTACAGAAATAAATTTCCATCAAACTACATATACAGTAATACATCTCAGATTATCTATGTTGTGTTGTGTTTTGTTGCATCATGATATGTAGTGTGTACATATCTCTTTTTAAAACTAGTTTGAATCTCTTTTGTACCGTTTCTGTTGTGAAAAGAAAGTTTATCATAAGGGCCTAAATCATTAAATGACAGTTTGACTTTGTTTTTCTAATGTGATGCATCTGAGAAAAATTTTCAATATCCTCAACATATTGGTGTGGGTGCTTGGCGGGTGCTCTGTGTGGTTTGCTCCTTCTTTCCTATCAAACATCTATCGTCCTTGTCTCTCCTCCTTTTTAGTGTATGTTACTCTCTTGTAACACATCTATTCTTCGGCACTTATATGACCGTAAAACTTTTACTGAAACTTAACTCATGATAGAAGTCTCACTTTAAAGAATGATTTATGCACTTATGTTATCACCTGCATAAACACATGGATAAAGAGATATATACTTGTTAGCTGTTTGTTCTGTCTGTACAATCTGTATGTTTGAGCTTTTTGTGTAAAGCCTAATTACTTCAACATAATAAAATGTTAATTTTTTAAAACATGTCTTCTTCTTTTGTTGCTCAATGAGCCGTACAGTTTCTGTTTTGATTAAGAAGCTGACAAGTCATAAATTGTCCATATATATCAGAGGAAGTAAATGCATTTCTAAAAACCTGGTTTCAAGACAGTATCGTAATAATGTTTTTAGTCATCATGGTTTGTTTTTTTACAACTTGTGTGAACGATTAGCCTCTAGAGATGCAAGAGCACTCAGCTCTCCATGCCAGTCAGATTGATAATGTTGATCATTAGTTTCTCACTTCATAGTTCCAATAATTCCATACAACATAAATTAGAGCTAGTTCCCAGCTTTAAAAAAAATAAAATTCTTGTAAAAATACAGCAATCAACTTTAAAAAGTGGGTCCAGTCAGAAATGCTAGATCTACTCCTATTCTTTAAATTTTCCTTAAGATTTGTTGTGCATAAATATTGTACTTCAAAGATCAAAGAGCTGCTGAAACACTTGAAAGTGTAGAGGGGTTGAGGGCATACAGATGATCAAATTGAAATATATATATATATATTATACAAGTCTTCTTTATTTTTTTTCTGGGGAAACATATATACCATGTATATATACAGTGGAAACCATATATAACAGGGATCCGGTAATAACGGATTTTTTAAATCCCCGTTTTTTCCTACTCTTTGTCTCTGTTAAAAGTTATCGGCAATAACAGAGTCTTATCGGAGCCCAATCGGTTATAATTATAGCAGCGACAAAGGCTCGTTAACAATGTGTAAAAAGTAAAAGAGAGAGTAATGCAGTGATGAAGCATGCCCGCCCAAGCCAAGCCACTGCATGCACACACAGCGGGTGAAGCGAGAGAGGACTGAGGTGTGCTCCAGACTTAAATCTAGCCCACCCATGAAGAAATACAGCAGGATTAGTCCACAAATGCTTACTTTCCTTGCATTTCTGATTTAACAGGGATCTGGTATAACAGGACTTTTTCTCTGGTCCCACCATCCCTGTTATATCAGGTTTCCACTGTATTTTGTTCTAATGAGAAGATTTTTACTTGAATGCGCTTTTAATGCTGCAAATATTATTTACAAAAGTGGTATCAAACTCCTCTTCTTTAACTTAAAGAAGAAAAACAGTTGTGAGCAACTTAGGCCTTATTACAGTAAATCCTTGTTGGTACTGATGGCACACAGCCAATAACAGTGTGCTACCTGAAGTCAATATATATATCACTTAATACTTGAGTGGAAGGGAAGAAAGTTGACTTAAAACAACCGAGTGCACATCATGGGCACATGGAGTAATAAAATAGAATAGAATCGGGTTTAAAAAAATTATTCAGGTTCATTTCATATAATTATACACATGTGCTCAGTCTCTTACAGTTTACAACAAAGACATTATTTACTTACAAAAGAGACCAATTTTAAGCAAAGCTTAAAAGTATGAAAAGACTTATTCTCCTTCTTTTAGTAGGTAATTTTTTCAGATCTTGCTGCCCCACAGAACTTCTATAAAGGCATTGAAAATTTTAGCACGGACTTGCTAACAATAAAACAGCAACAGTGTCATGTAAAACAGAAGAAATACAGATTATGCAGTGAATTAATAGATACCTCCACTGGGAAAAATTCCTACATCTTTAAAACAAAGCAAACTAAAAAAAAACAGCAAGCAGTACTAATAAATGATGATCTAATTAAAATTTACAAAAACAAATTAAAAGGCAAGATTGAATGGATACTTTTAGATATAAAATAATTTATTAGGCAATTAAAGTATTAAACAACTGCCAAAAGTCATTTCTGATTTTACGATGCAATACAACAAAAAAAACCCACCTTATGCTTTACACCTCCTAATATTTTTTATTCAACTGGCCAATGTGAAAAAAATACAAGAACATGGACCGTCAGAGACAGTAGAAATCACCAAGCACTCTACTTTTGCTGTAGGCCTTCTAGAAAAACTTTCTAAATAAATTTTGAGAGATCTTGAACTGAGGCACTTTCATTTAATTTATATACCTTCAGTTTGACCGCGCGCTCATAAAAATCCCACAATTTCTTCCATAAGTTTCCGTTTCTGACAACACTAGCTGGATTTGAATTTAAAGACTGGTTCTGTTGACAAAATCTGTAATATTATGATTTATTAAGCAGAATCGGTTTCTACGCCTGGATAGGAGTGAACCAGAAATGTTAGAACGAGGGGGGGGGGGGGGTCCAAGCAGATCAAACATGACACCAGCACAACAGGGGGCCTACATACATGATGGCATGATCAGTTTTGCACACTGATACTTAATACATGATAGTATTTCATGGCATTGACAGTCTTCCAATCTCACAAACAGAGCCACCTAAATTTCAGGACTCAACACGCTCAATTTACATGTGCCTATAGTAATGTAAATTCTCACGATTTTAAAACTTTACACAGTGGGTGCCGCATTCAACGAGAAGTCGGCTCCAACGAGGCAATCCTTAATTCCCGATTTTCCCCTCTATATCACTTTGTAAATGTACATCAGCTCCAACGACGTTGCAAATAGACCGAAGTCGCTTTCAACGAGGTCGTGATAACCAAATAAAAGCAATTAGCGGCCTAAAAGCGAAGAATTGTTCTTTCTCCCCATCTCCCGCGAAGCACTAGGCCCATCCTCGATTCCTAACACATTGTATTGCCAGATCTAGGTCTAAGGTGCCTCCTAATATGAGCCCCAAAGCCAAGAGGATGGGCGAGGGTTAGCCTACGGTAGGGCCTACGGTAGGGATGGGAGGGGGTGGGTGGTAACGCAATGTGGGCTGTGTGAAACTGGATGAACTCTGGATGGGTAGGTCTAGATCAAGTCCTTCATTTTTTTCAATTTTCTTTTCTTCCCCTGATCAGAAAATCCAAGCTCCCACCTTAACTTTATGTAGATCTAGGCCTAGATGTGAGAGGGTATATGTTTCCACAAGAGAAGCCTTCCAGGAAAAAAATATTTAAAGATGCAGAAATTGTCAGAACACAACTCAAACACGCGCACACTGAAGCTGTTAGTGTTTGAGATTTTTTGTCATCAGGGGGAACAACTGTTTTAATTAGATCTACCGGTTTTGGTACATCATGTAATATAATAACTTGTCTAGTTTCTTTTCTTCAGCCTTAGTCACGCTCAACGAGAGGTCGGATCCAATGAGGACAACAAGCAGGCCCCGGCAACCTTGTCGAATGCAACACCCACTGTAATCATCCTGAGATAGAAGATTGAGTTGCTTGAGGTCACTTTCCAAAACAAGTCTGCAAATGTAGCCAAGATGTACACAAACAACTGGAGGAAATATTAATATTACCGGTGCATGTTGCATACCACGTTTTAATGGACATACAGTATTGTTTTAAACTATGAACAAGTTCTTCACCCAGTATTTCCTGGCTTGAACTTGAATGTCAACAAATGTTTGGTGGGCGACTTTTTTTTTACTACAGAGTCAGAAAAGTTTTACCTCACACAATATTTTTTTTTAAAATTAAGCCGCACCAATTTAGAAGCTTCAAATTAAGAATCCAGTAAGGACATAGTAAGTCACTTTCTCTTGAATATCAATAGTGTTTGGAAGAGAGTTCTAGGAAGAAATACAATAACCTTTTTATTTTCAACTCAAGATTTGAGCTGATAAAATTTCAGAGATCCCTGAGGAATTTCAGTTAAGTATTGTAGAGTGAATCTTACATCCGCAGAATTTGTCTGGTCCGATGTTGGGTTACCATATCTGAGGTTGGAGAGGAAGAAAAGATCTACACAAGCATGAGCATTTTAGACTGATCAAACCATGACAATGTGTATTCTTCATGTGCTAGGTTGCAATGTCATATTTGCACAATCATTGGCATCATTTTTATGTCCTACTGACTTCCCCAATCAAATCAATACAAAAGACATTTTTTTCCTTGGACCGACTGGAAATGTATAGGCTTACAACTAGTAGCCTAGATTACAGTTAATGCTGAGAACTGAACTGACAAAATGAGGAGCACAAGTCTATCTTTGTATAGTTCATTCTCTTGCAATGTTTATTTCCCACCTAGACCAGGCATCTCACTCATCAATAGAAAACTTGGGCCCCATGCTTGTGCTAAGGCTCACTTGAGACAATTGAATTAATTGATACCATTCACCGTTCAGGAGCCACTTAACCACTGGCAATGTAAGAAACGACATAATCGTGACGTGGAGCCAAGCATAGAGAGAGAGAGATGTGGAATTCATCCCCCACCTCTTTGCCTCCTTTGACCACTGCAATCATGCTCCTCACTTTTATATTTCTGGCAGGGTCTAAATCATAACATTACTAAATATGTGAAACTGGAAGTTCTGCCATGAGAAAAAAAGTACACAATTACTTTTTAGTTGGAGGGGCTGTTTTGTTGAAGGAACAGCTAATTTACTATTAGTTAAGAACTTATGCGATTCAAGGTCAATCCTTGATGAATATTTCTACAAAATAAAGTGATTTTTTTCTCTTTTCAGTGCCCTGGGTGTTCCGTGGAATCCAATATCATTGAATGTGAAGTTAATTTAATAAAATTTCAATTTCAACCCCCCTAAAAATATGTGCAGGTGGCAAACAGACAATTCCTGCTTTTTTAATTACTCAGAATGTGACATAATATGACAAATGCAATCAAATTATCACTCAACATATTGCCAACATGATCTCATTAATTGTTCAATTAAATATTTCATTCAATACAAGAAACGTCCACAGGACATACAGAGATGTTTACCTTGGAAATGTATGAGTAATTCTTAGCATCACACATGTATCTTCAGCTAAGGCACAAAGCACAGAATTTAATGTCAATTCACAGCATTGCAAGAATGCAGAGGACAAATATTTTGTGTATTAAAAAATGGACGAGGGGGGGGGGGTTTAAAAGGCAAAGTAATTACCGGATTTAGATGGGAATGGCACTCATCCTACTCCAAATAAGCTACTTGAGCATAATTTCCATAATGTTGATCAAGATAAATAAATAAAATTAATTAAAATCCATATATTATGCTGAAATTAGGTTCAATATACACATTATATATATATTCAATTTGATGCTGCTGATGTCTAATAGTACTGGAAGTCAGTGGAATAAAACTTCAATACAAGAAAATTTTGATAAAATCAAATATCACATAAGACTGTAGAAAAATGTATTTTTTCCCATACATATGAATGTAAACATAAATGGAAAGTTTTTGTATGAGTATGAATGATGTAAAAATTACACACTATGACACTTGTGTTATGATTTACTGTACAGTACATCAAACCATCACAGACATATTCCTACAAAGAAGCAGCGTTATATCTGCTGTTTATGATACCCAAACATCGACGGCACTTCTGTTAAATAGATATTATTCACTGAAAATAAATCAACTCATGACTCCAAGAAAATGCAAAACACTGAACAACTAAAGGGAACCAAAGAAAAAAGTTCATAAATGTTATTTACAGTTTCTTCTTTGTACATCATAAATATAAGCGTTCTGAAATCCAAAATTTGATAGAGCAACAGAGCATGCATTCATGCACACTTTGTTAAAATATATATCACAGATTTGCTTACATCAAACTATGCAGCACTCAGCGAGTTCAATAAATATAAGCAGAGAATCCCAGCCTCTTCTGTTGCTCAGACATTGCATACTAGCCTCAACACTCAAGCACACAAGATCAGCTATACACAAAAGCCTGATTTTCTCTTAATTCCAACTGTCTCAGCCGCATGTTATTCGAGGCACCTCTTGCTCTTTGAGATTTCGTGGACCTGTGGCTGTTGTCGGCAGCGGTAACCTAGGAGACAACAAGCAGATTATGGCCTGAAATAGACTACGCATAAATGAGGATAAGTTTTTAAAACTAAATAAAAGTTTGGTATAATATCCTTGTCTCCTTCCTACAACTGAAACTAAATTAAAGTTGTCGGCAGCGGTAACCTAGGAGACAGAGTATACAAGCAGATTATGGCCTGAAATTGACTATGCATAAATGAAGATAAGCTTTTAAAACTAAATAAAAGTTCGGTATAATATCCTTGTCCCTCCTTCCTACAACTGAAACTAAATTAAAGTTGGTATAATTATTCCTTGTTTCCTCCTTACAACCATGATATTGTAGCAGAACTCACTTAAAGCAAAATTCCAAATATTTGTCTAGAGTTAATTTTAAGAAAGTTTACTTCCAACCCTATTTTAGGTACCAGAAACTAAATTTTCAAAGTTGCTGTATGCCAAATTTATCTGTTCCATATTAAAGGACTATATCTCCTGGGCATTTTGGTACCATTCTTTAACCTCTCAGTCTATTTTTAAGAAAATGGTAGCTGATTAAATTTGATTAAATTTGCTTAAGTCGCTCACTGGCTGCTACCCCATGTTTGACAAGTAATAAAAGAGTACCAATTGCACCAAACACATCTCCACATTAACAGAGTACAATCACTATAACATAGATATGGAGCGTAATTTTTTTTAAGAATGTAAGAACATTACAAATCAGTATTTTATCGTCTCAAACACAATGAGGCGAGCGAGTCGGCTCTATACTGTAGTGTACCGAGTGCTCCCGGCATGGGGAGTCATATGCTTTCTGAGCTTCGCGGAAGGATTGATGCAAAATAATTCCAAGCCGATTACTTTATTCTAATAGGAAATGAACTGATCTTTGTATAGGTGCCTTTTTTAGCCGGTATTTTATATATTTTGGGTAAAAAATTATCTTTGAAAACTTTGACGGTATTTTTAAAGGCTTTCTATTTAAACGCCAAGTGCCAAAAATATACCTCTACAGTTCTCCGCCAATGAAAAGACGGTATTTAATCATTCTTTCCGTGAAGCATTTGAATGAACGCGTGTCAATTTTTTAACCGGCCGACACACATTCCGACCGCGAGGGGCTTCGCTTTCCTCTGCAATTCTCCAGCTCTTAATAATCGGACATATAAACAACTTACACCATTGTAACGAAGAAAAGCTTAACTTTTAAAAGGTGTACAGCATTTTGTGTTTTATAGTGAAAGAGCAAAGAAACAGTGGTCTGAACAGCCCCGATTTCACCGATACCACACGCTCGGAAGGCCGCGAGTGCCCGCAAGGCCATATTTACGCTACCTACATGTTTAGTAAAGTAATTCATTAATACAACCTGATCTAAAGATACTTCTTGTTTAAAGAATTTTATCTCAAACAAAACTACAATATTCAAAAGGACTCCACAATAGTTGACTTTTTTTGGTGCTTGCATGTGGTTCATACTCATTAATCAGTGCACAACTGTTATTGCCTCTCTGAAAAACATTTCTTCATCTCCCACAAAACCCACCTGAGGGGGCGGCATCCGTGCGAAGCCCGTGCCAGGTGAGCTCATTTCTGGCCTGAGAGAGACAGGGGCTGGAGCTGACACCACAGACAGTCCACCAGACATTTGTTGAGGAACAATCCGAGCTGTTTCTGAGAAATAAACATTTGTGTCAACTGCCATTGACTATTGTTTGGCTGAAGAAATAGCAGTGAAAACCCCACCACCATCATGGCATACCTTTCAGTCATAATTGGAATTTTGGTACCAAAGTGGCAACAGAAACCCAATATTTTTACTTGAAAATTAACACTCAAAAGCATTGAAAGTATCTTTTTTTTTCCAACAAATTCTACATTTTTAAGATAATAATTTCTTTTGCACGAGACAAAATTTTAGACACTTCTTTAGATCCATTAACAAACTTTTTTACTCCACTGTATAATAGTGCAATGCAAAATAAATTTTTTTATTTGAAAGACAGTTATCACCATTTTACATTGAACAAAAGCAGTGCTCTTCAGCGTCATTCCCAAGAGCCTTTACTACATTCTGTACTAAGTTTAAGTAACCCTCTTCTGAACTTTTGCATCTCATTCTTGTGTTTCCGCTTCCACATTCTGCGCAAAGTTTTTGAGTGACCTTCTCCTGAACATTTTCGCAGGCACTCTGTTAGCTCAGTTGTTATCATGCTGGACTATGGAGCACATGGTCTTGGTTTCATTTTGTGAAATTTTCAAGGTTCTCAACCCATTTCTCTTTGTGCTATTGGAGACGGACATTAAATTTGGAGATTCCGCCTCTTAAATAACCAAATATTGTAAACCCATACACTGTTGCTAAACATTTGCTTCGTTACCTTACATTTTCCCTCCATGGTCCTCCACACCTCAAGGCACATACACACTCACAAGAGAAACATACATCCTATTATAATAAGCACTACACTGAAGACAAGAAAAGTAAGCACCCTAATCACCATTATAAAATCATCATCTTTCTTCCTCTCAAAGCTTTCTCTCTTCTTACTTTCTCTGCTTTCCCCCAACCCCCCCCCCCCCTTCTCTGCACACCCTATTTTTTTCGCTCCCCTGTCCAAATAATGTGGTTGACACATAATATAACTTCACCCCCTACCGTGATCTCTGTGCTTCCCACTCATGGCCCGGATTCTTGAAGGTGTGCTACTGTCAGACTTCCAGTCTGAGTGGTAGCCTGACTTGGCCAGTAAGCGATTTCTCTCAGCCTCCGTCTCCAACATGTTGGAAACACTGCGATATTCCACCTCTTGTGCTGTGGCCATCATAGGGCCTGGTCGGGACACAGCTCCCAGTGGCTTCCTGGCCAGCTTAGATCTCTGATGTGCAACAAGATGATCAGAAAAATTGTCATTGAAAATCTTGAGGTGTGAACGTTACAATTTCAAATTTCAGCCTGTATTTTAAGATCAGGTACACAAACACTCATTTCTAAGTCTTTGCTATCAACAAAAGAGATGTGACAGTTAAATAATGACATACTTGGACCTTTTGTTACTTCAAGCTTGCAACAAATTACTTTAAAACAATTTTCAAGAGAATAAATATATTACTTCATATTCATTGTGTACACGTGAATAACACAAAAAATGAGAATATTTTGTCCATTGTTACCATTACCCATGTGTAACAACCTGTTTCATAATCTTGTCTTTCACATCTTTTTTCCTTTGACTGAAAGGAAGTCCTTGCAAGGAACTCATTTATTTTTGGGACACTGAACTTATATCCTCTATTGTAATCGGTGAAAGCAAAACTAGTTCTGCAACACATTAGCATATCACCACAACAAAAGCTATACAATATAGCGTGTTTAAAAAGAAACAATATAATTAAATTCTGTAGCCCATACAAAAGAACAATTCAAACGGATTCAATTTCAAACACTGACACACTTGAAATATCAGTCACAATAACTATACAAGCACAACCCCAGTTCAAGTGATAGAATTACAAACCACCATTGATGTTCAATCAAAATAGGACCAGTGTTACTAAAACTGAAAGATGGATGGAAGATCAATTTTTATTCTATACCAGTCTTTTCAAAACCCATAAAGCAACACTATGCTAACATATTTCATTGGATTATGCCTTTATAGTTACATTTTTTACAGAAAACTATTTCATTCGGAACACCCTATAGCAGTTTTAAGAATAGCATCCACCTCTAAAATGATTCAAAACAGTTTTAGACAAACATTGCAAAATGGAACTGCGAAACAAAGACACAACATGCTTTTCAAGTGTTATTCTTTTACCTGTCTCGATCTTTCTCCAAGTTCTTATGAGACCGTAGTTATAAATAGAAGTAACTCAAAATATTATTCTAAATACAGTCGAACCTGTGTAAGACGGAACCGCAAGGGAACGGGGAAAAAATTCCGTCTTAGACATTTTCCGTCGTAGACAGGGGAATTTAGGGGGGGGGGGGTTCAAAGGCCCAGCCGGTGAGATCAAGGATCGCTTGTCCGATCGGCAAGCAGTGGTAAAAACTTCACACCTCTCAGCTGCTATCCTGTCTGATAGTGACATGCGTCAGTCTTACTTATCCAATTACCACCAGTGCTTGCCTTTCATAGGACCACTGTTTGACCTATTAAAACAGAAACGTTTGAACACCTCCTTTGCTTTCACCCTTAGTCCCACCCACCAATGCCACCCCTCACTGTCATCATTGTAACAACGATTCGAGGAACTCTTTTCTCAGCAGGCCGTACGATCAGGGCAGCAGGCATTGGTCAATCTAATTTCACACCTCTGGCTTCTGGCTACCCAGGAAAGTTTCCGTAGTGGCTGGCTACTCGAGCACTCTCACGGGCAGTCGTGAGATATCACACCCACACTACACTGACCATCTGTAGCGCTCAGTGCTCACATGAAGGGGTAACATAGGGTAACTTCTACTCTATCCCCATTGCACCCCTACCCCCCTTCCTCGCCCAGCGGTATGGCCATGGCGTTAAGTTTAGAGCCGGCGGAATCAAACTTGCGAGTTTTGTTTCAAATCAGGGCTGAGCGGGCAAAGCATTTTCCGTCTTAGACAGGTGAAACCATCGGAAGGGAGCGGATTTTTCTTTCCGTTTCCGCGTTGGATAAGTTTCCGTTTTATACAGGTAATTAAAGAGGAATATATCAAGGGGGGAGCGGGGAGATTCCGTTAAGACAGGTTTCCGTTTTACACAGGTTTCCGTTAAGGCAGGTTCGACTGTATTTATAAAAGAATGCATGTTAATTCAAAAAGCATTCCTTACTTGATACGCTGGCACTGTTCGTTCATTGAGATTAGCCAAAGAAGCGCCTCGGTTCTGCCATCTCTGGGCATAGCTTGGCTGAAGTGAGGAAGAAGCCTGATGCTTAGCCAGCAGTCGCAAAGAATGGTAAGGAGATGATGGGAAAGCTAGGTTGGAGTGCAGAAGGTTGCCAGTGCTGAGAGAATGTGTTTGTTTCGTGGGTACCTTGTGGGCAGGATAGGCAGACACAGCGCGCTGGTGAGAGGGACTAGAGGGAAGCTGATGTGTCATGAGAGAAGAGAAAGGTGCAGAGGGAGATGGGCTAGGGGATCGATTGAGCTGAGATTGCAAGAATCTCACTGTGCTAGAGGGAGATGAAGCCCTGCCTTTGCCATGGGCGGTGGCAGACGACGGAAGAGGAATGGATGAGGAAGAGGCGAGGTGCATGAGAGTGGACTTATTGAATACAGCTGTGACTGGTGACGAGTGCAATATGACTGGCTGTTGTTTCGTGTGCTCTGAATTAGTGAGGGGGTTAGTGAGGCCAGAAGAAGTGACCAAGCCACCACCAGATGAGGTGAGATTAGAGTTGGGGATATGATGTGCGCTAGCTTGAGACAAAGAGTTAGTGGCGTTGACAGTGTTGGAGGTGCTAAGCATGCGGAAGGCACTAAGGCTATTAGGGCCGTGGCTGGTATGTGAATAAAGCATCTGCTCTAGGGCTTGCTCAGGAGGACTGTTAGTTGAGTGAAGCATGTGTGAGGAGCCCTGTGATGCTTCCAGGGAGTCAGCCTGAAAACAAAAGCACACAACAAGCCACACATCAGTCGCAAGCACAACCAATAGCATCTATTGTCTATACAAAAAGCTTCGATACAAACTGAGCTGCACGGAAGTGACAAATAATTGTTTTTCTCACAAAACTTGCACCAAATCTAAATTGCCACAGGTAGTTGAACATCAATTCAAGTTAATGCTTTTCAGAAAAAGTCATGTAAATACACCCAAGTGATAATAACTTTCATGAGGGATAGTGTGCTCCAAATATCTTGAGGGACAGAACATGGGAAATATCTCAGAGCTTCAGTATTAGACTTCTTCTGCAACGTTTGATTCAGTCTATCATGAAAGGCCCTAAAAGCAAGAAGTGCAAAGTGAAATATATATTTTTCAGAGTCTGATATATGAGTAGAGTATAATATAAGGTTTATGAATATATATGTCTTTCTTTTAGTGAAGTCAGAATGTTATTAAACAGAATACATATTTGAAAACCATAACAACAGTTTTACCAAATCAACAACAACAAAAGTATTAAGTGTACTTTTTAGGTGGTGCTAGTTCTTAACAAACAACAAACCATTAAATGTATAAATAATCATGAGATAAATATGGAAGCAAATATTAAACAAAAATATTGAAAAAAATAACAACAAAAACCATTAACCTCTGGTAAAAGTACAAGTACAAGTGAGATCAAATAACCCAATACATAACAGTAGTGACAAATAAAAAAACGAAACAAAATCAAACAGTAAAGCATTATAAGAGTTGAGTACTGAAAGAAACTCTGGACCAAAGAAACAATTTTAGTGTTTGTATTTTATTGCAGCATTCATTGTATGGTAGATCTGTCTACTTCACGTTTGACAGAACAAGTTAAAATCAGCGGCTGAAACAGCACACACCAAATATTGTCTGCAAATACAATCAAATATACTTGAATTGAAGACATTCACTTGCCACCTTCAAATGTACACAATGAAGCAGGCCTCAGTCACAACTATTCTACAAGCTGCATCACCACACTCATTCTTGCTACAATTGTTCTCTTTTACCAAAAACTATTTGAAGCATTCGTTCCCATCCAAACTATCAGATGCCCTTAAACTTGGCTAAGAAGTATTTCATTACTTTACTTTTTTTCTCACAGCAATAATAAGAACAGTCATTGCAGACACAACGCACAAAAACTGAACAACTTTTAAAATATTTCTAAGAACCTAACACGGTTTGAATAAATGTTGAATGGAGAAGACACAAATTTGCAAATTCCTCATTCTTCCTATCATCAACATCATCCAGTGTCAGATCTGTGACAGACATCAGCGATCATGGGTCTCCATTCATTCCTTTGCTCGGATGCTCTTAACAGAGCCACGTTTCCCTGATCTTTCCCTGTTACCAATTTGTTCAGGTTCCCAAAGTAGGTTGCTCTGGGCCTACCCCTGCCTTGCTTGCCTTCAATTTTGCTAGTGAAAGCTAGATGTTCAAGACCCTTATGTCTATTCAGGTGTCCCAAAAACTGCATTTGTCATTTCCTGATTGTTTCTAACAGTGAGCGTCCCACGTAGGCTTCATCAAGCACTACCTCATTTGATTTCTTTTCCTTCCACGATACTCTTAGCAGCCTCCTAAGAAACCACATTTCTGTTGCTTCTATTTTATTTTCACTGTCTTTACTGATTGTCCAGCATTCACAGCCATATAGAAGGGTTGACTATACATAGCATTTCAGAACTTTCATTTTGGTAGTCATTGAGATGTTTCTATATTTTTAGGATAGGGCTCATTTTATTGAAACTTTATTCCTTATATACAAAAAAAAAATTACCTTCCATACTGAATTAATTTTAAAAGTTGAAAGTCTTCATCCATTAACAGCAATATTTCCCATATTATTGTTGGATTTTCTAATTAAAAAGAAAAAAAGAAATGAAAAATAATATTAATCATATGCCATTACTAAAAACATTTGATTAAAATCTTGGAATTCATTTACCTCTGCCATAACACTGAAAACTGAAACCTGATGGCATTAAAAATAACAATCATTACAAATTTTCCAAATATTTCCTACAGGCACATATTTCAAATCTTGAATTCAATAAAAGATAACTATTTCAAAGGTCTGCACATTTTTATGTCTGTCTGGCATTCATAGGCCACTTTGGAGACAGAAACGAGCTTTCTGGGTAGGGAGGAATCAATAGTTCCAATACTTTTCCATCATTTTGAAAGCACTTTATACTACAAGCACTACACAACCAGGTATGTAGGCTATTTCGATTTAACAACATTTATAAGTTCTGCATTTTTCATCATGTACATCTAAAGTACTGAGAAAACTGATGTAAGCCATGGCAAAATCAAAAAGGTCCATCTTGTGATGTCCATCTGCAAATATATTTCTTATGGGCACTCAAGTTTTCTAGAAAACACTGATACTCTTCCTTGAAAAATCTCAACACATGACCGTGGTATGCTTCCTTGAAAATCTCAATACTGACTAGCTTAGCATGAACACAGTAAATCTCTCTTCTACCCTCAAAATTCCATCACTATTTAATCATTTTTAAGTACAATGCGAATCATAAAATCACCTAATACATATGGTGACATTCACAATACATGCATTTCGCACACACACTTGGAAATGGTTCAATGCATCACAAATCTAGTTCAAAGGAAAAAAACTATTCACCTCATATCATTCTGTAGAGGAATTAAAATGCTGTAATCTTTCTGATCTGTGAGTACATGTAATACCTCCAATTGACAATGGGGAGCTGTTTCAAAAAATTCATCTGAACATTGCATGTTCCATAAGAAAGACTTGGATTATGGCTAAACACCATGTGAACACAGCATTCATACAAAATTTTCAGCACCATAACCATAAAAACCTAAAGTAGCTAGGTCAGTAGTTTCAAAAGGAACCAAATAAAACCATTAGTTGAAGCAAGCTTATAACCAGAAAGCTGTACAACCAAGTAAGTCCCTGCAAACACCTTCCAGCAAGAAAAGGGGTACTGTTTTGAAATTCTCAGGCAAAGTATTAGTTACAGAACGATAGCAAGTGAAATTAAAATATCTCTGATTTCTTCTTAGGGGTATAGAAACAGTTATTTCCTTTTCTCACTGGAAATACCCAAATCCCAATTCAGTAACAAAGCTCATGTAGGTTTAGACCTCAGAGCATTGATAGGGCAAGCGGTAGCAGTGAGCACAAAACCAGGACTTGAGTTAAGGCTCACTTTGTCTTCCTGTCTCTGATCTCCTTGCTGTTGCTGAAGCAGAAACTGCTGCTGTTGCTGCTGCTGAATGTGACTGTGACCATGCACGCTGGGCGCTGCAGGCGGCTCTTGGGGAGGAGCCGACATGAGAGAGCGGGTAAAATGAATGTGCGGGAACTGCTGGTCAATTAATCGGTTTGGGTAGGTGTTTGGTGTGGACATTGAACGTTGAAGTCTCTGCATCGAGCTCTCTTTTGCCAGCACGTGGTTGGGCCCAAAATAACGGTCAAAGAGAGACTTGTAGTAGTGCATGTCTTTGGCTTTGTTTGGGACAGGCTTCATCATGTCCAGCTCTTGCTTGGCCAGTTCCAGTCGCTTTGCCATCTTGTTGGAGTGACCTAACTTACCCTAGTGGAGAAAGAGTTCAATTGAACCTATCACAGAGAATAATTCTGACATAGGAAACAAATATATTTGATCTTTTCGTTACATTTGGAGCTTCTTACACTTTCAAGACTTGAGGTTCACTACTGATTGGAAAAAATTCTACAGAACCCTTTGAAATCTATGCAAAAAAGGAAAGGAAAAAAAGTATAATACTCTAACCTCACTGCCCTTTAAGCTGCAGTTCAAGGCCTGGTTGAGAGACCTTGTGTTAGAGCAAGTTAACTTAACCTTGACGAAAGAATGAGTGCAAAGTCTGTCAAGCATAATAGTAAGGACCTAGGACAGCAAAAACACATCACAACTGTGGAGTACTGGGAAAACATATTTCATACAATCAACATTCAAACATGGCAAAATAAGATGTTTGCAGGGAAGAATAAAATCTTTCAGTCATTCATTCCCTGCACATGAAATTGCATATCGAGGGACAAAACAGCACCTATGATACTGTGTAATATTTAGGAGCAAAGAAGTAAGACTGTAAGATATATTCTAGCCTGGGGTATGCTATAAAATATGGGAAAGAAAAATTGAGAACTCATATGAATATGAACTTATACATGGAAATATCATAAACAGAATATTATTACAGGGTAATTTCATAAAACAATATAAGGATCAGCAATCCAAAGATTCTAAAAAGCCATTCTGATATCAGGAATAAGTAAATATTAGTGTAGTCCCAATGAAATTCTGTTCTTCATATCTCAACAAAGTGAGACAAGACGGCAACAGTAGTACTGTGAGAAAAATTAAGCTTAAAAGTGAAAAAAAACTTTGCTTGTCTGTTCTTCTAATTTCTGACCAACTCTCCACCCATGTGTCTCACTTTCCAGAATTTTTTTTAAAAAGCATAGAGTCTTAAGATACAATACACACAGACCAACAGACTATAGGGTTTCAACAATGGGCTTGACAGTGAAAACAAAAAAAACAACCAAAAAACGTCAAAATAAGTCCAGACTAGACTCCTACACCCTCAATATTTAAGTCGTTTTGAGTTGAAACAAATCAGATTAGCAAACGGATAACCGCATAGTGCTTGGGAAGGAAAAGTAGCTGACACACTCGAACAAAACAAAGTCAAAGAAAAATGACATTGATTGATTGTGATCTCAACTACCAACCCAAGCCAACAGACACGCAAGTTAAAACTACAACTCCTTCCAAACGGTCATGACATAAAATCCCCAACCCGTTATCCGGTGCAGGCGTTAGCATGATTTGATCTATGATTCTATGGAGAAGTTGACAGCATTAGAGAAAAAAAAAGTGTCAAGCTCGTGTGTGGCAAATGATTTGTTTCCTGTGACGAAAAGATCCTTCCAACAATTGCCAACAGAAAGTACTTAAATGAGTGCAACAAAAGGAAAGAAAAAGAGGTTTTAATCCCATTCCCAAAAGCATAATACAATGAAAATATAGCATTCTGACTGTGACTGGGTTCAATAAAAGAGAGTAAAAAACGATGATACACAAGTGATACATGTATATGAGTATGAATTTTTTTTCAGAATACGATGTACTGACAAACAAATTCTTTAAAACACTGTAATAGAGACATTTTTCATTGCATTAAAAAATGTTTCTTATTCACGTCAACTGCACCACTCTTTATTTTATTATCAATTGAAGCTTTGTTAAAAACCTATTTTGTACAGACATAAGAGTTAATGCCTCATGTAGTATTTCATAATCATGTTTAGTCACAACTGTGGCAGAGGAGGTCCAATATCTTCATATTTTGTACTCACATTCCTTTTTAATGCATAAAGCTAAAAAAAATTATATTGTCAAGAGTTTTCCAAGATACAATAATACTGTTCCAAGAAAATTATAGTTAATTTACTTTTTCATCTACACATGAATTAATTCAGCCTAACGGACCTGAATTATTCCAATGTATATATGAGTAGAGACTCAAAGAGTTGATCTGTTAAAGTATTCAGTTTTACGATGTGAAAACACTATGAAACGGAAATACTATGACAGAGATTGTTGTATTACTCATAATAGAAAATAATTTGGTGATTCAAAAAGTAAAAAAGGAAAAAGCCAAGACATTAACATGCGAGATTAAGACCAGTCAAAAAAAAACAATTAAAGATTTTGGTTAAGAAAAATTGACTGTTAAAAACTACAGCTACATCTTTTTGAATCTTGAACATACCTTGACCAACCTATAAGATGAGGATAGTGATCTCTGCAGGAAAGAAGATTGTTTAAGTACTTACATATATGTATATATATTTGAATATGTAGGCGACTGAGATTTCACACTCCACTACCAAAATGTGTACGGTGCGCGAGTAAGTACAAAAATTATGTGCAAACCTGTGCAAATAAACGTTGAACTTCAATAAAGATTTCACTCTGTGACATATGACATCACAACACAAGACATATCTGATTGTATATCTTCCAAGAAATATCATACAAAAAATTTGAAAAAAAGATTTTAAGGTAAAAGAAGTTAATGAAGAGACAAATGTATAGAATTTAAAGCAATCATTTGCCAATGAAGAAATAGACACAAAAGAAGTGCATTTTTCTCTTTTTACTCAGAATTTACATCCTGTTCCACAAAGGACAAATATCCAATCTAATGTCTTCTGGGGAGACATCAAGTCTCAGATGAATTCCATCAGTCAATATAGTCAGTATTAGCAGTCTACTCTAAACCCAACACATATCACTTCAAGCGCTAATTTCACATTGTGACCTTGACTACCAAACAAAATATTTTAAAAATAATTCCAAAGCTATACTTTAATTCATGAACATACTGATGGAGACCATCAGCATATCAATGGCTGGATACAGGATTCCAACAAACAGCATTTCGCAATATGATGTTTGTCAGAGTCTTGCACCCAGCCATCTATATATACTTCGATGTGGGCACTGCAATGAAAGGATAAGCATTCATAAACAAGCTCTGCCTGCTTCAACTCTGAATCTGCTACCAAAAACCAAGCACTTTTAATCAAATAAATTATTTAAGCCAATAAATTTGTTCATTACTCTATTCAATCTTGGTGAAATTTCACTCTCAAGGGTAAAAAATCTATGAAATCGATTAAGTGACCTGATATATGGATTGAGTGGTCTACAAGACTGTCTAGGCTCTTAAAAGAAATGAAGTCCAAACAAGAGGAAGCATTTTCTAAATGAGTAATACAGACTGAGAAAAACTGTTCCATTTTCGACATAAACAGATCAGACTTGTATTTTCAATTTAAACACCATAGTTGCAGTGCTTCAAGCATTACACACCTTGGACTACTTGGACACTTGAAAGGCACATTAACTCATACTTCTGTATACAATAATCTTATCACTGTAACCTGACACTTGAGGAATTTACTATTAGTGGAGACAGAAAGTTTTAAGTTAAATTAAACATCAAAAGTCGCTGATAGTAATATTACAGCTTCATAGGGAGATTTTAAAAATATCCATATGGTCCTTCAATAGAAAAAGATGCAAAACATAGTAATCGATAAATACATATATATGACACACCATGGTAAGCTTTAGGATCAGTTTCAGTTGAGCTTACTATTGTCACTGGTAAGAACAAGCAGACTATTTATTTGCAAAACTTTCCAACATACCGACGATGAAAGAGACATCTCTCGTCCAAGTAATTCCTATACAAGTCAATAAATGCATAAAACATTTCACGGAGACAAGACTGTTCCAGAGACCAAAAGCAAAATTTTCATTGCAAAATGGGCCTTTAGGTGAAGTGATTTGGAGCAGAGGGAAAAAGACAAATCAAGGAGACTGAACGGGTCAAAATTTGAAAAGGAAGTGGATAAAGGATGATGAAACAAAAAGAAGAAATACATAATTTAAAGCGAGCTTTATAAAAAAATACTGAGAAATTGCAAACAAAGAAAGAGCGAAAAAAATAATGAAAAGGACAGGGCAACAAGAAGAATAACGAAAGAGGACTGTTAAACTGAGACCAACACTGAAAAGAGTACAGAAGTAAGAAAAATCAGATTAGAATACATGGGCACAAAAAAAGTTAACACAGGCACATACACGGGCACACACACAGGCATACACACACACTTTCAGAATAAAAAAGAGAGTGGGCTAAGTAAATTTACAAATGTATATTTCAAAAGGGACTGGAGTGGGGGCAATCAAGGAAGAACACAGCAAAATACATTCCTAAAATACTCCAGAAACATACCAGACAATTTCGCTGCCCCTGAGAAATTTTAGTGGAAGGACACAAACAGTAGATGAAACAAAGGAGAAGAGACAAGACAGATCACTCACTTCCACATTAGCGAATCAGTTCCCCCATTGCCCGGACCTGTACTCACCAGTGTGTGACTGTGACCAGCCCCAGCCTGACCAGGCCTCTGCTCGGGCCTCACGATGCCCACAGTGCCAGGTGTGCAGTGCAGCAGACGGTAAACGTGCTCCACGATGCCCAGGCCCCGCACCAGGTTGTCGCGCTGGAGAAGACCCGACAGACGCTCCAGCTCCTCGTCCTCCACAATGTCCAGAGGCTTCAAGGTGTCCACTGGCTCATCTTCTCGCATGTCCTGAAGTACAAGTTTTAAGGTGTGACATTTTGAGACCACGTTTATTTATCACTCACTTGTGTGCCGAATAGTGGAGACTAGAAGTTTGATTTTGGTAATGTTGAACGACCTTCTCAACACAGATTCATTTACAAAAGAGAAAGTTGGCCAACCTATATCTTTAGTCATGTTATCTTCTGCAATAGGACTGGCACACTGGAGCAACAGTATTTCAAGGAGAGAAGTAGAGGAACAGACCTCATAAGGTCACTCTCAATCACCCAGTGGATTGAAAGAGGGATAAAAGAGAAGGTACAAAGAAAAAGATAATTTCAACCATAATTCAGAAACAATTGCAATACAGAAAAAGGATTTAGTCAAGCAATAGAAAATCTATATAATTCTTCCACATTTTCACCGTCCACAATACCAAAAGATTTTAGTATATCTGCCGGTACATTCTTTTCTAAAAAAAGGGAAATGGGGAAGGGCCTGAGATCATTAGGCAACACACTGATACAGTAAAGTTGACTATCACACCACAAATAAGATCAATAATTATTCGATAAAGAGTTGCTTATATTGTGACCAATAAAAGTGTTATAATTTACCATGAAATGATCTTTATTTAATTACACATTTATTTGTATTTGGATGATTTAAACAAACACATCAACACAATATTTGTCCCAAGATGCTTGGGGAAAAGTGAGATGATTGACAGATGAGAATTAATTAATTGGTCATCAAATTCATCATTATAACATAACAACGTCACATACACAATGTGCATGCTCTGTGTTTTCAGTTGTTATACTTTATTTTTACTCATGTTGAGAGATAATAGATAATACAGTCAAACCTGTGTAAGACAGCCACCCATTGTCAAGGAGAAAAGTGGCCGCATAAGACAGGTGGCCGTCTTAGGCAGGACT